TAACCCAATCGATCGACTCGCACAGCTGACTCCGGTCACTCGCCTCACGCACTCACACAACAACGCACTCGCACACTCACATCCCACAGTATTTTCTTCTAATTCGTAATGGAGGTTTTGAAGCTTCACTAAGGATGCCGTTGATCGGGCTAGTGCGGAAGGCGCCCACTGTTATTCTGAGAGCATTGTTGTGTACAGGGTCTAATTTCTTTACTATGTTGGTGTTGGCTGAGTTGTATATGATTGATCCATAGTCCAGTTTTGATCTCACTATTGCCTTATACGTTAGGAGTAGGGTTTTGAGGTCGGCTCCCCAGTTATTTGCAGCTATTGTTCTAAGTATGTTTAGTCGTTGGTAGCTATCAGTTTTGAGTTTATTAATATGAGGTGTCCATGTTAACTGAGAATCAAATGTTAATCCTAATAGTTTGATAGAGGATGTTTCCTTGATTATCAAATTATCGAGAGTTAGTTTTATGTTCGCATATTGTTTCTTTCTGCTGAAGGTAATTATTTTAGACTTGGTGGAAGAAAATTTGAACCCTGACGTGAGTGACCATTTCTGCAATTTATCTAGTGCTTCTTGTAGTTGGGTCTGGGTAGTATGAAGGTTCCTTCCTTTGCATACTAGGGTTAAGTCGTCAGCAAATAAAAGTCCTTTGACCGGGACTGGTATGTTGTCCAGTATGTCATTTCTAGCGATTAGGAATAGCGAAACACTTAAGACGGAGCCTTGAGGTACTCCGTTTTCTAGAATTTTTGTAGTGGATAGGACGTTGTTGGCTCTAACTTGGATAGTTCTTATAGATAGAAAGTTACTGATAAAATTAAGGATGTTTCCACAAAGGCCAAAATTCTGGAGAATTCTTCGGGTTCGGTTTCTCCAGACCATGTCATACGCTTTTTCTATATCTAAGCAAACAGCTGTTGCATACTGGTTATTAGCAAACGCGTCGCATACATTCATTTCCAGGTTTATTAGGTGGTCACATGTGGAGTGAAATTGTCGAAAGCCACTTTGTTGTTTAGCGATGAGGTGCCTTGATTCTAAGTACCATCGGAGTCTATAGTTTATAATTTTTTCCATTAATTTACACATTGTGTTTGTTAGAGCAATCGGTCGATAACTGTTGGGGTCCGTTGGAGTTTTGCCTGGTTTCAAGACTGGGATGACAACCGCTTCTCTCCATTTGGTTGGGAAGATGTTGTGGGACCAAATGCAGTTGAATATTGCAAGTATGTAGTTAAGCGCCTCTTGTGGAAGATGGGTAAGGAAGATGTTGGGTATTCCATCGGGTCCGGGACTAGTATTCGAGCATTTGTTTAGGAAGTATAGCAGTTCATCAAATTGGATAGGAGAATTTAGGTTGGAGGAGTAAGGTGTTTCTTGGACTATGATTGGAGGCTTCAACGCGTTAGAATCAGTTTTCTGTTTGTAGATCTGAAACTGTTTTGAATAGTTGCAGTCACTGGAGTTTTTCTGGAAAGTCGTTACCAGGATTTCGGATATTTCGTTTGGGTCGGTGGAGATAGAGTTGTCTTCCTTATTTAAGGCTGGTATTGAGGAGTGTTGGTTTGAACCTTTGATAGCTCTTATCTTTTTCCAAATTGCTGAGGGAGGGGTATGTGGATTAAGAGTTGAGGTATAGTTTATCCATGATCGTCTTTTACTGTCCTTTGTGATCTTACGGGATACGGCTCGGTATTTCTTGAAGTTGATAAGGTTTTCTGCGGTTTTGTGTTTTTTGTACCGGTTGAAAGCATGTTTGCAGTCTTTCACAGCTTGTGAGCATTCTTCATTCCACCATGGATTATATTTGATGTTGGCGTTGGTGTTGTTTTTTGTCTTCGGGATGGCTGCACTGGCTGCTGCGATGATGGCTTCTGAGAAGTGTTCGAGTGCTAAGTTCAAGTTTGTTGGATTTATTTCTATGAGCAGGGAAGATGAGTCCAATATGACTTTCCGAAACATATCCCAATCAGCTTTCTGAAATTTCCATCTTGGGGCTTTATTAGTTTCAGTGATTCGGTTTAGTTTGCATGTCACCATTATAGGGAAGTGGTCACTGTCGTATAGGTCTTGTACTGTGTTCCATGTAATGTCTTGAGTGATTGTTGGACTGCATAGGGATAGGTCAATTGAACTGAACCGACCGGATGCCGAACAGAAGTGAGTGGGTTCGTTAGTGTTTAGTAAGCTGAGGTTTGCTGAGTTTATTATTTTTTCCATGGAATTTCCTCGCGAATCGGTCTTATGAGATCCCCAGAGGATATTGTGGCTATTAAAGTCGCCAAGTATAATGAAAGGTTTTGGAATTTGGTTTATTAGATGAGTGAGTTCGGATTCATCTAAGTGATGGCTGTTCGGTAGGTATATATTGCATATGTACAGATCTTTAGGGCATGTTACTTTAGTGATGATAACTTCTAGATTGGATGTGACTGTTATTTCTTGACTGTGGATGTTATTTCTGACAAAGGTGGCGACTCCTCCACTTGCGTGGGCAGTGTTGCGTTTTATTGAAATATGTTTTATAGTTTTTGATTTTACCTGAATTATGGTTTTTGAAGTTAGTTTCTTGTAGGCAGATTATTTGTGGCTGAAATTCTTCGACTAGTAGTTGGAGGTGCTCGAGTCGGCTGTAGAAACCATTCAAGTTCCATTGGATAATTTGTAGTGACATAATGGATGTTTGGTTGGTGTCTTGGGTTTATAGGGGTTTTGGATCTGGGGAGGATGAGTTCCCCTCTTTCGAGATGATGGTTTGTAGTGAGATTGCTGTTGCGAATTCTGTTTCTAGTTTTTTGATTAATCGGTGTAGTCTGTTTTTCATTCTTTGGTCTTGCATTAGGGGGTAGATTAGGTAAAGCATATGTATTAATGCTTTCTTGTCAGAAGTGTAGTCGTTCGCGATAATGTTTGGGTTTTCTGTGCCGATAGCATTTTCCAGGAAACTTTTCAGTTGAGAATAGTTAAGGATAAGATGGTTTGAGGGGTCATCCAGAGCTGTTTTTGCTGGTTTTAGAATGTCGTCTATTTGTTCGATGATTCTTGTTAGTGATTGGCTGCGTTTGGGTTTCTTTTTCATAGTGGTGGGTGCAGGTTTATCGTTTGAATTAGAGTCGTTAACACATGGTCTTACGGGTGTTGAGATGGGCTTGTTTGTTGTCTGTTGGTCTTCTTCTGAGGTGTCTGATAGTGGTCTCTTTTTTAATTGAGCTTGAGGGTTTGCAATGGCAAGTATTTGGTTATTGTCTGCGCTGGAGTTAGCCGTAGTGGGGTTGGCTGGAATGTTGACATTGGGGTCTTTTCCTATCTCGCTGATTTCGGTTGTGGTTGGATTTTCGTTTGTGTAGTCTATGTTATATTGTGAGTTATTGACGCTTGACGTTGGTTCCGTATCGTTTAGTGTTAGGTTATTTCTCGTTTCCTTGTTGGCTGATGTGTTTGACATCGGTGTCTCGGTTTGAGTATTGCATTGGTTTGCAATATGCCCTTCTTGTTTGCACAAAAAACAGGTAACTTTGTCAGTAGATACAAAAATTCTGTACTGTGTGTCGTCGTACGTGATTAGAAACGATTCGGGGAGTTTATGGACATCATCTGGGTTTATATAAATTTGTCTTCTGAAGCTCATTATGTGGGAAAGACCGGGGTCTTGTAGTCCCGCTCTGAGGAAGGATAGTTTCGAGGTCAGTTTGATGTTATGGATTGTTAGTACTTTTTCGATGTAGTCATGTGGTATGGTAGGAGAAACGTTGGACAAAATAATTCGTTGTGATGGATTTATTAGGGGTCTGATTGAGGTGGATGTATTGTTGATGGGCAGTGATTTGAAATTGGAAACGAGGGCTTTTGTTGTTGTTTTACTATCGAGGTAAACACAGATTCGTATGACGTCGATTATTACTGCCTGATCCTTGGTTGGAAAAACACTGCTTACCGTGGCTGATGCATACGATTTTGTAGGCTGAACTGTTGTATTGGTTTGGGTATGGCTCGTTATATTTTCAAATTCCATGACTTCCATGACGGGTCTTCTGTATTCAGAAGGCTCACCGATAGCACTAACGTTGTTGTGTGGTGATCCGCGCACCGACACGGCACAGTAGGCTGAATTATAAACACAGGAACTCGCGAGCGATTGTCAACACGTCTGATCGGTTTGACTGCCCGAGAAAGAATCGAAAATTATTATTATTCAATTTCTGCAATTATTAATTCTACTGTTTTGTTTATGTTATAAAAGTAGGAACTCTTCTTATTGAAAAATGCCACAGCGTGCACAATACTGGTAAAAAGTGGAATCTCATTTTAATTTATTAATTTTCAATCTTAAAGTATTTTGATTTTCAAAAATCATATTAATAATATACATATGTGCGCTCATACATGGGACTAATAAAAAAAATTTCTTTTTTTTCAATAATTAAAATATGATCAGGAGGTCTTAAAACGTGTATTTCTGTAAAATAAATTTTACAAAATTTGTTTTTCATTATGGGTACTTTGCTTATGTGCGCCTACATAGGTCGGAAAGTAAAAATGTCTGGGCAGTCGAGAATTTCGGCTCGAGAATCCAAATCGTATGCCATTGACGGGAGGTCGGATTTCAGTTGTTAAGAGCGAGAAGGCAAATGTGAGCCTTTCTCTCTCGACTCCCACGAGGCGATCCGAAAATACTTCGGGCAGCTTCGGAGAATCGAGAAAGAGGGCATGCGTCAGTTTGCCTTTGTCGACTTTCCGAAACTCCACGAGCTCACGTACGCGTATCTGGCATGTGTGCGTGTGCACCCGGCGGTGCTTTTCTGGCATCTCTGCAGAGGGGTATCTGTAGTGGGGGAATATAAATTTTATGTATTTGAAGAATAAAGATCTTTTTCACGTATAAAGAAACTTTACTATATTTAACATTTTCAATTTTCTTCATCTTTTCCTGTTCTTATATTTCTCTTTGAGTTGTTTATTGCATTATTTTACGATGTGAAATTGCTGTCGGATAAGGGCGTTTTGTAAATAAAACGAAATGTATATCTATATCTAATCTTACGTTATGATTTTTATCGATTTCCTACAAATTTTTGGTTAATTTTCGAAAACAGTGAAACGGGGGCCCGTACGGCACCATTTGTCGCTCGATCAAACACTTCATTAACGACATTTTCAATGCGCATGCACGCAAAAGGCGGCAGATGTAACAACATTTGGTCGTACTAACAATTTAGCCACGGATCTTATTCCGAGGCTATCGTATCGTGGAGTCGATGTGTTCGCTATATTTGTACGAATAGATTTCTCATATTTTTTCCACTTTACCACCTCGGACCAGTGATTCGTAATTCCACGGTAATGACATTTGTGTCGCACGCGACACCCGCTACGTTTCACCTGCTAGCACTTTCTCAAGGTCCTCCGTATTTATATGCATCTTAAGGCGACATCATCTTTATGCGCCTGCACCGACTTCTTTAAGTTTTATTCAGGATTACTATCGCTAAACGATTTTGCATCAGTTAAATTGGTGACCGCTTTATTTACGTTTGACCGTTTGTCGTTTGCTGGCGTATACCTTCCAACACGATACACGTAAGTCTTCTCGGGTCGTGCGATTTTCGCGTGTCAAGTTCGATTTCATTCCTACTACGCGTAAAACAATTCACGCTGGTGGTGTGTGTCACTTACGATTTTATTCGATTCACTGATTCCGCGATACGGCAATCGTTTTCTGTCGTCTCACACTTATGATCGAACATTATTATTATTATTATATAGTAGGTTAGATTAACGTTGCACCGATCGTGCTACAGATGCGTAGGTACGCATGGTAATTACATTTTTCTTTTTAATCGAAGCAATGTAACTTTCACCGTGACGAGTACGATATAGATCGTACTCGTTCACGAGAACCTCGGTAGATGCTCAAATTTCGCTTTTAAGAATTCGTTTCTCGTCTTATCAATTCTCTCAGTCTTTAAAGAATCTTAAGTATATCTGTTTATTTGCAGAATGCCATTACACCATTGATAAAATAAAACAGACTGTACCTGTGGTTTATTCTTAAAACAGCAAACCAAAAACTCATATAATAGAGTTACAAATATATTTTCAAAATGATGGATATCGATCCTCCACAATTTGTGTCTAAAGACGATGAAGTTCAGTATTGGATGGATCTTGCCCATCAAATACACAGGAGGTAAATTACAATTGTGTTACGCTATGTGATGTTTAATATTATTTACGAGAGTTGATTTTAATATACAGCATTTCTACAATAACCTGTATAACTTTAAACTTTAGATAGTTTGAAAGATATTTAACCAAATGTCTAACTATGAATACTATCGCATATTAAAATTTATGTTTAGAAAATTCAAAGTTTGTATGCTAAAATTATAGAAAAGAAGATGTAGAAAGAGAATTGGAAGAATTTCAAGAAAATTCACAATTATTAGAAAAAGAATTAGAAGTATCATTGGAACAAGCAGAAAAAGCTAATAGAGAATTACGACAACGAAACACAAGACTTGCCACTGAAGTGGAACAGTTGAGAACAAGATTAGACCAACAGACATCAGACTGTGCAATGTTTCAAGGAAAAGCTCAAGATTTACAATCGCAACACGATCATTTATTAAAGTACATAAGGGAACTAGAACAAAAGAATGATGACTTGGAAAGGGCTCACAGGTATTCAATAATTATATCTGTATTTTTACCAAAATACTTGCACTGTTATTATATGGGCAATTCATTATAATTAACTGGACTTTGTAGGATAAATAGGGTAACGGAAGAGGAGATTGAAGCCAAACTTAATTTAGCAATTGAAAAGAATGCGTTATTGGAATCGGAACTTGATGAAAAAGAAGGCCTAAAAGTTATAGTACAGAGACTAATGGATGAAATTAGAGGTAGAATAAATAATCGATAAAACTTTAGTAAACAAATGAATAAATTGATTTTAATAGTCCGTGTTATTACAGACTTAAAACAGGAAATTCAAGTTCAAGAAAGGCATCAACCAGATAACGATAAATCTGCTGACAGAGTTCGTAACCATGTTGATAGTAATAAGCTGCAAGTTGAATTGGAAACTCACATACCACCTACTAGCCCAATAGTACAACAATCCATAACTCCAAGTAATACAACTTCACCACTAAAAAGTAAGATACATAATACATTTCATAAAACTAAGCGCATGTTTTGCTTTGGATCTAAAAGATGATCTTTAATATTATCAAAATGAACAATCAGCAAGAAAAGTATTAATGTCTAACGAATCATAATAATCGTGGACAAGAAACAAATGCAAACTATAACTTTAATTACCTTATCCTATCATATATAATTTTTTTGTATATTACCCGAGATTCTACCTTCTATAATATATAAATTTGTTTATTTATTAATATTTAAGACTAACTGAAATGAACCGTTTGATTTAACTTTCACGCTTCATTAACATACTTCTGTATGCTTTAATTAATTCTATTTTTCTGTACATATATATATAATACTGTTGTTATCAATGGAATAAAAATTATTTTAACAAACTTGTTCTTTATTTTAATTTATAAACAGTTACACACATTTGTAACTGACTTGCATGTAAACTTCTACTTATTTACTATGAAAGTATTGTTGCATAGTAATATTTTATTTATAGGGGTGTGCGGGTAACCCGAACCTCGAGTTCGAACCATCAAAAAAGTGATGGATTTGGGCAGAGCCCGATATATCTCAACCAACCAAACTGTTTCGGGATCATTCAACATAAGTCTGCCCGAAATCTATTGGACTATGCTTCAATTTACCAATTTTTTGACGGCTCGAACCTGAATTTCGGACCCGCGCACCCCTATTCATTTATTTTCTATATGTTCGATACTCTACTGTCATATAACTGTAGTAATTTATATATTTTCTTATTTGCAATTAGTTGGAAACAGAGTTGTAGGGGGTGTAACTGGGAACAACAATAACAATAATAATGTGAATCCGCCATTGGCACCATGCACAAGAATATTAGCAATGAATATGATTGGTGACCTTATGAGGAAAGTTGGCGTAAGTATAATTATATTTTATTTCGTACTATGTTATTTAGGTTTTTCAAATACACTTTTAATGCACATAAAAGTAGCTTGTAGCATGGCTTGTACACGTTTGAATTTTGAAAATTAATTTCAGTTGTAAATATTATTTTTGGTACTAGACGATTACTCTAGTTATATCAAATTTTTTTTTGCCTTTTCGACGAAATTCATTTGTAATATCTTCCAAATATCGTCTGTTTTACATCGAACAATATTTTGCAATGTGTTTTGTAAAATATATTAAAATTTATGCCTGTTGTGCAAAATCCTTTAGTATTACGTTAGTCGTTGACACTGGTAGTACGATGTAGCTGGCATTTTGGTAGCTTAACAGGTGGGTCTGCATGGAGTGTAGGAGGGTAAAGTGCACTTGTCTGGGTGGGAAAAAAACAATTTCCACTACACCTACCGATTTACCATCCGTCCAGGCTCACACACCTACTCAATGTATACAACAGCAACCTAAATCAACCAAGTGCTGACCAAGTTCATACTACCTCACCGTTAAATTATATTCCACATTTTTACGATACAGGTCTTTATTTGGTTTCTTTTGCTTCGTATTTCATATTTTCATTCTGTACGCATCACGCTTTCTTCTCTCCTATATGATTCTCTTACCTATAGTTAGTTTCACCAACAGTAAAAACTTATTTATGATATCTTTCCTAAACATACAAATTCTGGCTATATAACTTTTTCGTACGATGATAATATATTCTTTAACAATAGTTATTTAATCAACACAGGCATTGGAGAATAAGCTAAACACGTGTCAAAATCCATCTCGAGAGGATCAAGCCGTTCGTGATCTCTACAGGTAACATTACAGCAACATAATAATTTTGAAAAATTACATCATTGTCCCAGTATCCCTGTGCACTGCGTGTATTTGTAGTAAATGAATATCATGTATCAACAAATCTTAATATAAAAATTTTTTTAAATCTATTTATAATTATTTGTAACTCTTGAAATTGAGAAATTATTTTTGATCTCATCCCTTTAATAAAGGGATTTTTTATAAAATTCTACTAAAGTGATACATGATAATTACTAAATCAATTGTACTTCTTAGTTTTATGTTCATTTTTTTACATATGTAGTGCTTCCTGTGAACGTTAAAGATACGAATTTGTGGATTATCAAGGCTTCCCACGATCCCAGTTCTTTAGTGTCTTAGTCTCTGAAAGTTCAAAATATTTAATAAGACTGCATTACTTTTTGTATAGCTCGTCTTATCGCTTGCGCTACTTGTTAAGGTAGAGCATTCTTTTTTATATTGTCCTAAGTGTAAAGTATCCTGCGGCTTAGTTATTAGTAAGATTCTGAGATGAAGCGATCAAAATTAATCGATACGATAATAGGAAATAAGCAATATTTCCACGTTTTTATATTAGTTTTCTTAATATCACTTAATGCTTCCCTTCAGTTCCATAATCGTACTTCGTCGTTTACCGCATTTTGATATAAATGTATATTTTGTGTAAGCGAATTGCATTTAGTTATCCAACTCCTTCCTTGTGATGCAAAAAGTATATCATAATATTTTTATTAGAATCTGTTATGGTCTTAATAATTTGAATTTTAGGAATGGAAGTCTTAAATAATTTCAGATAGATGTATTATTGTACAAGTAAAAACAACGTATTTATATATTTTTATTTTTTTAGTTTTCAATCAAGTTTTTAAATGTTTAATAACTGAAATTATTAATGACTTTATTAGCTAGAAACCTTTGACATATCAGATTGATATTTTCTCGATCAATTTATTTAATTTTCTACATATCCACATAATGGAGCTTCACTAAGTTAATTGTTATTATTTTATCACAAGATTATGTGTATTGTATAATAATAAAAAAAAAAACGAAAATCTTTCGTCATTATTATACATATGTATGTAAAGATACATAAAAAATAATTTTCAAAACAGATGACATTTAGAAATTGTGTATTTTACAATCTAAATCGAGTCACTGGAATTACTGAATTTCAGGATGTTTTATGTTATCGTAAAACTTTCGTAAACATTGAATCTAGCCAACTATACCGTATTCTAATATAATAAAATTATTTAATTTCATATATAGCAAAACGTGGCAATAAATTAGAAAATTTAAATATGTAATAATATAAGTACATTTGTAAATAACTTATTGTACACTTTGTGAGCGCGTGGCTTCTGCAATACCATTCAATCATATTGTCAATTTTATGATATACAAATAAATTACAATAGTGAATCTGTTCCAAAAAGAGTCCAATTACATTATAACAATATTGATTATAGACTGAAAGTGACTCCATAAATCGTAGAAACATTTGTGGTTCAAACTATAATAAATTATTTAAATGTTTACTTTTCATGCTCAAAATTTATTTATAGGAAATTAGATTTTCATTTGTAAACTCGTTTTTTAATAAAAAAATATTATACATATACAGGGTGTTCGACCACCCATGGGAAAAACTTTAATGGGAGATTCTAGAAGCCAAAATAAGACGAAAAATCAAGAATATCAATTTTTTTACTGAGGCTTCGTTAAAAAGTTATTAAAAAATTTCAAATCATCCTGGAAACATTATTTTCGGTTGCGGGGGTCAATTACAATCATTTTTGGTCATTAGACATACCCTCGAAATCCTACCCACTTTCTAGAAAAAAATTCAGTACGGGCGGAATTTTAAACGTTAACAACTTTTTAACGAAACCTTCATCAACAAATTAGTATTCTTGATTTTCGTCTTATTTTGGCCACTAGAATCTCCTATTAATATTTTTCCCAAGTGTGACCGAACACCCTGTATATTATAATTATTTACATTAGCACATTTCACCAATGAACTTGACCTTGACACATGTATAGTCGGGGGCGAGGAGTACTGATTTAGTTTTCTAAATATTTACTTATAATCAGCGGTCTTTAATGGTTTTTTAGATAACCATCAAAAATTGAAAAGTGAATACACGAAGAAAGTTATAAACAATTCCAAATATTATCAGATACTAAAAAATGCATCAATGTGTTTACAAAACGCAAATTTTCTTCAGAATATAAATTCTGGAATATATGTAATTCGTATAACATTGTTGAAACATGCCAGATTGAGGAATATTAGTTATTTTATATATCTCGCCATATGCTCGTTCAATATACTGTGTGTGAGCATTAATATCAGAATTTATGAAATTGTATTTATAATTTACACGTTCATATAAATATTCCTCATCGCTAACAATTACACGATTTTAAATAGTCTTGATATCAAACAATATTTTTAAAAAAACAACCACAAACTGACTTAATGTATATTGTATTAGTGTCATGCTAGAAATCATTGAATGTTCTCTGTCCGGTAACTGGACGACCTTTGTTATATTTTCAAGATTTCCATTTTTTGTATACTATGGACTCATTACTGTAGTGAAGCGAAACATTTAAACATGAATATTTTAAATTTGAATAAGATTACGTGACAAATATTTGAACAATTATTAATAATTTTTTAATTAACAATTGTTACTCATATTTTCGCATCAAAAAATCATAAATGTAGTGTACTGCAACTGAAAACAGTAAAAATTTTAATATTGAGACAAGTATGTTTCGAAGATCATAAACGACTATTGATTGAAACATTTGGAAAAATTAATTAGTACCCTCATGCATACATGTCAAGGTCATCGATGATGTGTCGTTAATGTAAATATACATAGCATCAAAGGAATCAACATTTATCACGCGACATAATGTGAATTGCTACATTTATAACATTCTCCTTGCATGAAATTTACATGTCATTTTTACATCTCTTGTCACTAATGTCCGTACAGTGTATACAATAAAACTTTCCATTGTATTTGTGGTACCAAACTGCTTAAATGTTTTTTAAATTGCACAATATAGTACCCGTGTTTTGTCCCAGTTTTGTGTGGATCATGCAATAACATTAATTATTTAATGTAAATAAGGCTTACCTTGAAGGAACAAGTATCATGAATTGCAAATCATTAAGCTATTCTTTACTTGTATCAACATGCATGTTGTACAGTCTATGCACGATCCATAAACATGTGCAGCATTTCTCAATCTTTCATTGTACTTCTAATATTACAGCTACCTACAGTTTAAGTGATTAAGTAGCAAATGTGAAATGAAGACGTATGTTTTGAGAAAAAAGAGAACAATTTTTTGACGCGATTACGAATAAATGTCTGAAATATTTGAAAAATATGATTGGGAAACGCTGATTCAATAAACATCTGTTAAACTCCTATAGATCACACTTCTAAGTGTAAAATGGTAACAAAGCAATATTGAATTTTTTAATTAGGACTAGACGGCAAGTTCGAGGCTTTGCCTCTGGCAACAGCAACCACATTCGATTATAAACAACGTGTAATGTTTCAACAATAAATTATAACTTCGTGCGTCATACTTCTATTCCTGTTAATTCTTACGTATTTTTATTCAATCTCGTTTATTAATTTATTATGAATTTACGATAGAATGAAAATTATTTCTATCACCTTATTTATTATTTATCTTTATTAATTATTTAATTTGCGTTTCTTGGACATCACAAATTGTAGAAATTATTTGTTTTTTTCATTTATCGCAATTTAAATATGTGCTTGACGATAGTAAGGACAAAAATTTATAAATAAATGTTTTAATTTGTAAGTATAAAGTCGATAACGTGATTATTATATGTGTAGTAGGATTACGTTATTGCTCTGTAGATATTCACAAATGATATTAAATTAATAATTTGTGAACTCTTACTTTTAGTAGATAGTTTTAACACAATTACAAACTTTGCTGCGATTAGAAATAATACTGTAATGTCTAGTGCAAATTTAGCTTTTATAATAAGTTAGATAACAATACATGTCTATTTTTTAATAACAAAAGAATATTCTTTAAATAATTTGAAGAAATAAATTTTTGTTTTTTTTTTTTTATTTTGGCAACAAGACTAATAAGAAAATAAAGATTTGCGAGAAAATTTGACGCGTAGTTCATTTTAATCAATGTTTCGATCTTTCACGTAGACCCCTCCCTAGGAAAATATTTTAGTTCGAAACACAATTGGTTGAAAAATAACAAATATGTGAAAAAGCAAAATAAAGAACGTAAAATAGATGAACTTAAATAATAAAGTTAATTATGTAACTCCAAACTTATTTTGTACTGGAAGCAAAAAATATTTTAGTAAAAAAATTTATTTCTTTAAATTATTTAACGATAAAAATAAAAGCAAAAAAAAATAAAATAAAATCAACTAAAAACACTTATAAAAGAATATTCTCTTGTGTCGTGAAATAATTCAATTTTATACTTCAAAACATATAAAAGCTACCGAACTATATATTTCAATATACTATACTGTGTGCTTCTATGCCACACGCATAATTTTAAATAGCATCAGATCTCCAAATATTTATACAAAGTAGAAAACGTACTAACACCATTAATTAAAGTATATTATCTAATAAGAAAAAATTGTTAGTTCTTACTAGATTCCGCTTAATGTATAATAATACAAATTATTAAATCGAAGTTATAATCGTTTGATGCTAATACCAAATTAATTGTGAACTTGACTTTCAAACGAAATTGAAATTCAAATAGAAAAATTTACATAATATTTATAACATAAATTTGTGAAAGTAAATTAAACTATTTGTAAAATAAAGATATTGTAAACAGTCTTCAAATCACTGATGTTTAATGCTCTTAAAATTCCTCCCAGCAACAAATTTGTTAAGCGATGATTACTTACAAGATAAAGAAAGGTAAGCTAATATTATTTCGAAGATTTATTTATGAAACGTTTATCTTTACACGAACAATGAGTACTTGGCTGATTGAAATATCTTGTGTAATTCTCATGCAACCGGAGTTCTAGTATAGTATAGTAAACACTACATTGGATTCCTATAAAGAAACTGTCTTATTTTCTAATACACATTTTTGCTATGTAAGTATACCAGTAATGATAACAATGGTATCGTGTATTGTAATAATGATCAATAAAATAGGGTTGTAATGAAAAACTAAAACTACTGCTTTTCATTTTTGAAAGTATTTTTGAGAAGATTAACAATTTGTTTTCTTTTTTTTATCAAAATTATTAGTCTGTAAGTATTTTATACTTTGCAGACAAAGTCTAAAATGATAGAAAATGTGAATTAAACAAAAGAACATTTGTAACCGATCATTTTTGCGAAGTAAGTCTCCATATTAATAGAAAATGATGGCGAAAAATGAAGACTATCAATATTTTGAAAATAGTTTGTAACATGTTGGGTCGATTTGTTAGAGTTTTGAATTCTATGTATCTATTGTAAAGGATGAACGTGTTACAACATGTACATTTTTGTGGAGTACAACATAATATGTAGTCTGGAATGAAAATGCTCCATCCACGATTGTTACGAATGATAATAATAATAGTAATAGTATTAAATGGTATGTATGGGAGTTACATATTATTTAAGCACGCTCGCCACGGATTCGTCGAGCCAGCTGAATATCCTTGGGCATGATTGTAACACGCTTAGCATGGATAGCACATAAGTTGGTATCTTCAAATAAACCGACCAGATATGCTTCGGATGCTTCCTGTAATGCTCCGATTGCAGCACTTTGGAAACGCAGATCAGTTTTGAAATCTTGTGCAATTTCACGAACCAATCGTTGGAAAGGTAACTTTCTGATTAACAACTCTGTTGATTTCTGGTATCTTCTGATTTCTCGAAGAGCGACTGTACCTGGTCTAAAAATCACATTTTGTATCATGTACTTTAAAAACCATAAAATTATTATACACAAGTATGTCCCAGCATCGGTGGTACAAGCGGGAACGGGGTGATTTTACATAAAAAAACAAATCAAAAATAAAAAATAAAATTTTTTTATTTGAGGTTTCGTTGTTGAGAAAATCAACTATAAGTATTCACCAAGTACGCACGCATTTAACTATGGCTTAGATGGATGGATCTCAATACAAATAGCACCGATATCATTAGTATCAACATGATGTACCGTGTTATTCACGTCTGTTTATGGATTTAGAGTGGATTTAAATAAAAATAAGATATGTAATTAACTTATTAAACTAACATAATTAATACAAAAATTATTGAAAATTACTCATTATGCTGTATACACAACTGTACTCTCTGAATTATATTTGATAACATAATTGATTATATTTCTTCTCATACACTTTTGTTTTAATATGATCCCATAGACAAAAATCAAGGAGTATCAAATCTGGAGGTCATGGGTTAGTAAAAATCAAAGATAATAACATACTAAGACAATAAATGAAATTGCGATTCATGCTCGGGAGGTTTTGTCAACATGAGTGTACAGAAGTGCAGAAAAGATAATAGAAGTCTATTACTTTACTATTAGTTATCTATCCATCTAAAATATAATTAAATGCACATGTACTCTGTGCATATTTAAAACCAATTTTTTCAACAACAAAGCCTCGAATGAAATAATGTAATCCTTTAATTTTATTTGTTTTTTTATGTGGTATAACCCCCTCCTTAATTGTACCACTGATGCTAGGATACTCTGAATATTAAATATAAAACGTTTTATATATAAGTTACCTATATCTATGTGGCTTTTTCACACCACCCGTAGATGGGGCACTTTTACGTGCTGCCTTTGTGGCTAGCTGTTTACGAGGTGCTTTACCTCCGGTTGATTTACGGGCTGTCTGCTTTGTACGTGCCATGATTCAACCTAAAGCAATACAAGCTCTGTTAATGATAGACATTTTTGACAATGGAAAAGCAATTTAGTTATAAATTTTCTACAATTCAATATTTACAATACATTGTTTTCATGACCTTCACCCTTTGCACTACGTTATACATCGTACCTTTGTTGTACCTTGTTTCTATAAGATTTATTATAGAGGAAAGAAAATTGTATAGCACACGCAATGTGTAGTTGCATATATATGTGTGTGTGTGTGTAGGATGTTAATATTATTTAATCAACAATTTCTTTGTAAATAAATGATACAAGTAAAAGATAAACTGGTCTAACTTTTGAATGTTCTTAAAGTTATTTGACAAAAAATGAAATAAGAACGTGTCATGTTAAAACTGCGATTGAGGAATTTCAAATTGTATCAAAATAATTTTATGAAAGGGGAACATAAAATAGTAAAGGATCGTAAAAGCCCAAGAAAATTATAAACCAAATTTACCATTAATGGAATGAATGTATTTCACTTGGAATACATACCAAAAGAAGAAGCATTAGCGATGGGATATCCCACTACAAACAGAACGATCGAGAAACGCGGGAAAAACTATTTTAAAGAGCGTATATCGATATCTGGAGTAAACGAAGCTTAGGAGTGGGAAAGAAAAGATGGTGGGACGACGAGAGTGGGGGTAGAATCCGTTGCTGTTTGTACGGAGAAACCGTGCACCGAGGAACGCTGCGCATTGCGCAATGCACAAACTTTCGTTCCTCTTGCATCGATGCGGAAAAAATGCACGCTAATGAGAAAAATGTATCATCCAGACTCCTATTAATTCTCACAACCTACGATTACTCTTTCGGCAACGAAATCACCGTGCGACAGAATCAAACGAATGACATTCGCCGTGAGAGAAGCCGCGAACGTCGGCTGCGAGAGAGGCTCGTGAACGATTCCCTCCACGAACGTCAATTGCAAAATGGAGGCAACGCGACAGTACGTTGTGTTCAGACGTGAAAACTCGAATTTTCCGACACTTTTAATTTTCTTCGATGCACATTACACTTCCCGCGAATTCGTTGACATCGGTAATTGCACGTGATCGAAGATGATATACAATTTTAACGAGTTTACATACCTCTCAAAGGAAAAATTCTACGAGAAGCGAGAGCCAGCACTATCTGTTTCCTTATACTTCGATGGCAGTGGACGCTCTCCCAAGTCACGACTCCCTTGTCCCTACCCCCTAGAAATTAAATCGCGAGAGGCACGTAAGCCCGCGGTGCGGTGTACCCAATCGGATGTCGGATAGCAGCTGAGCCTCATAACATGGAACGTGCGATTGGCTCAGTCTCCTACGCCTAGAGTGCGAACCGAGACGAACCCTGTCAATTGTAATATACATGATACTACTCTCAGCAACCTCGTTTTACTTGCAATAATTGTCTTCCCATTGTCGTCGGAAATGCTTCGATCGATAGATGTTTTGATTTTATCGATATTTGCCTTTGGAATTTAGGTATATCGATGAAAACTATATTCTTGTACGTAACGCTTGATACTACGTCTAAATTTATACCCTTGCATGCACGAACATTGTGACTTTGTTCGTGCAATTCCATCTGCAATGAAATCAGCTTTGTCGTGGAAACTTCCAGAAAAATGTGAGACGTCTGTAAAACTTTGCAAAGAACGTCATCTTTATTTTTCGTACCTAACGAGATTGTGATTTCAATAATGTTTTCCTTTGACGATATATATTGAAATGATGCCAAACTATTGTCTCAAGGACTGTAAATATTCTTTTACTCTTCGACTCGAAAAAGTAGACGCCATTGCGTGCCTCAATGTAAACAATATTGTATCGATATTTGACTGATAAATTCACCGAATTCTTACGCTTTTCTATAACGAACTATTGCAAACCAAATTGTACAGTACGTTACTTGATTTTATCAACGAATAATTTTGTAATTTGGCGTAATACATGCCGGTAATTAATTCTGATTGAAATTAAAATGCAACTTGCATGAGAACTTTTGTAAACATACACATACACATTACAGATTATTATGAATAATATAAAAATGCTTATTCTATGATATGGCATGCCATTTCATATCGATTATAAATTATCGATCGGGTATATACCTATTATACCAATTGCTGTACCGAATGTTGGTAGAATGTGCGCATAATTGCATTCGAACGTGTAATTTTTACGCTATATTTAAAATGTATAACTGAATAAATTTCGAATCAATATTTACAATTAACAGCCACATCAATCTGTTTAATACAATGTCAACTAAGAGCAATGGTGATTCTACAAAAATTTATTATCTAAATTACTTTATTTTTGAAATGTAAGGGTTTATATTTCTGTCATCTAATTTGTCTATATTGTATGCATATTATTTTAGAAATTTATTAAAATTAAGTAATTTTAGATTATTTCAAATTTTACGTTGCATAACAGCCCTTAATTATTAAATTAAACATAAAATGTCTACAATATTTAGTTAATTAACAATTAATTTCAATAAAAGGTAGATAACCTTAAATTTTTAATTTACATTTTAATTTTATACACATATTATGGAGTTACTCACAAATGTAAATTAATAAACCGCATAAAACAAAAATATATTAAATACCCTTTTTTATTCAAGATAATACATGTTTATTGAAAATTTCTATAAATCATTTACATTAATTGAAAAACTGGTAAATCATGTCTTACCTTTATCATTACAATTACTAAACTAACAAATTAATTAAGAATGAATAATTTCATGGTCACAGAGACAAGTTAATTTTATAATGCAAATACAACTAGTAACATAAATCGACAGCACTCTTAGTATATAATTCAATGATATCCCGAATTTTTGTAGCTTATTTTATGAAATGTTACAATGTTAAGTATACCTATTTATATATATATATATATATCAATAATTTCACAATACATTATAAATTTAATCTATCTTAAATTGTAAGTCGACAGTAATAGAAAAAAAGTGTTAATAATAAAATAAACATTGTGAGTGCAACTAGTTTCTTCTGCAAAAATATTAAATCTACATATTACGTTGCTTCTATATCGCTTACTTTACTTAATGTATTATATAATAATCAAGTATTAATTACGTAGTGACGTGTTACTACTTATTACGAACTACGTACTCCGCTTTGTGCTTTTTGTGAATACTCCTATTATTAAATCATAAATGTACTCTTCTATACTAGGCATGATTAATAGATATACTCTAACTCCTGTATCTTATCTTTCAACAGGCTTGGCAGTGTCAATTACAATAATGATTCATGAAAAGAACTCAACTGTAATGAAGTTTATCATTTGTGGAAACATCCAAGAATATGACAACAAAATGAATTTTATTAGAGAAAAATTTAAGAATTTTGCGTTATAAAATATTTAAGCACGTTCGCCACGAATTCGTCTCGCTAGTTGAATATCTTTAGGCATTATCGTGACACGTTTGGCATGAATTGCACACAAATTTGTATCTTCAAACAGTCCAACTAAGTAAGCTTCAGAAGCTTCTTGCAGTGCTCCAATAGCAGCACTCTGGAAACGTAAGTCGGTTTTAAAATCCTGTGCAATTTCACGAACTAAACGTTGGAAGGGTAATTTTCTAATCAGTAATTCAGTCGACTTCTGGTATCTTCTGATTTCTCTGAGCGCTACAGTACCAGGTCTATAAAAGAAATAAAATTATCAGAATTACAGTACTTTCATTGTTTATATTGTTGAACACTTAAATTTTAAACAATAGTTCTACCTGTAACGATGTGGCTTTTTCACTCCGCCTGTAGACGGTGCACTTTTTCGTGCAGCTTTGGTAGCAAGTTGCTTCCTGGGAGCTTTACCTCCCGTTGATTTACGAGCAGTCTGCTTGGTACGTGCCATATCTATAAAAATTTATTATTTTAAATGTAAGATTGTCAAATTCAGTAAAGAAAATAATTGAGTAACAACAAAATGGTGTCGATATTTCATGAAAAATAACATTGTAATTTTTCAATTAATTGTATAGACATTTAAAAATATACTATTTTGTTTTAGAAATACCGATTTATAACATATTATAATTCACATAAAAGATGTTTTAGTTTCCCTCCAAAAGCGGACACAATAAACAAAATGGTGGATGGCGTGAATGTAACATCGATGTGCATAAGAATCTTGTAACCGTGAAAATCATTGTAACTTTCTTAAAACGTATTATTTATAACTGATATACGTGAATGCAAAAATTAAGATGACTTAGATTTATTTAATTATGAAAAGAAACACGTTAACGTACCTGATGCTCAACCAATTAGGACAGGAACGCTCTATACGTCACGCTGTTTCGTTCAATGATGTTAACTGATGTCAGTTACTGTTTTTACCGAAACGCAGTTTGGTCTTGTGGAAGATAGGCGACAGCACTGTGGTTAGATACACATCACTCGATTGGTTGTTATTTCGTAACACGGTTTCCGATTTGTCAGATTTCGACGAATAAACGTATTTGTTACGGAATTTGCAAGTTTACAATTATTAAGATAAGATGCCGCACCTTCCTATCTAAAACATGCTCACCAATAATACCGGGAAGCGCAATTTGAATTTTTGTCTTCTTTTCTAAGAAATAAAGATCGAACTTACTATACGTCTATATATAAATATTACACACGTTGACAGTACTGATCAATAATGTTACATTTTAAAGTTAGTACTAATAAACTACATACATACCTATGTATTGATTCATGCTTGTGATTGTGTGATTCATACTAATGTAAATAATAAAACTTAATTTTTAAACAAATTTTGCTTTTTTTGTTTGAAAAGTAATACATATTTCGCGGTATAAAATGATACTTATATAGCACGAATTAAAGTTACGATGGTATGTATAGAAGTAATAAATTAAAAAACACGTTGTCACGCTTGTACTGTACAAAAATTATTAAATTATTGCATGAAAATTTCGTATTTTTAGTATCTATGAATGTTTCTAAACAAATTTAATGTAAGTTTAACAACGTATATATATTGGCAGAGAAATAAATTGTACTCAGTAAAGTATGAAATTTTTAAAGCAATACTTACAGAAATACTAAGAAATAGCGTGTAATTATACACGTAATTTCTCAGAACTATAATGCATTGATGTTCTATTTCAAAGTAAGGTTAACAAATTCAAAGAAGAAACTGCAAAAATGAAATTTCTAACAATAAAGCTGAAAAATGTTATCAAAAAGCAATAATTCATTGTTGTATGAAAATCTAATTACATTTTATATCGTTTCTTTGTATTTCGTTATGTATGTAACGATTGAAATCGCTGTGTTATTAATATGGTACACGTATTTTGAAAATTTATATTTAAATAAAATTATTGTACTAACTCATGATACACAAGTTATCAATATAGTTTATTTTTCAAATGATCAATTTTATTGATTTACAATATTCATCTTTATAATCCACTACCTAATAATAGCATAAGAAGCAATAATAAACATTCGTTCTACAAATTACGCCATGAAATAATTATTATCATATCATCGTCGTCATCGTCATCGTCATTATTATTATTCATATACATATAATCACATACATATGTATGTATAAACTTTCAGTCATCGAAAAAATCTTAGAACAAAATTTATTTTTACTAATATTCTAGCTACTACTACACTAATTTAATCATTATTTAAAATTGTATTGCCAAAAATACGAGTCGTTAATATTTTTTTTTTCAGTTGCACGCAAATAATGCATTTTTTTTTTCTTTATTATTCAATTTGTACTGACATTCATTAGAATTTACTATAATTGTTCGCGATAACGAAAATTCTTACTGCATGTTTTTTTTACGTTTCATTACAATCTTTCTTTCGGTATGCGACCAGATATGAAAATTTATTTGAACGTTAAGCAAACACTATTACTGGCTTGCGAATAATTTGCGTTATTTTGGCAGGACATAGAGATTAAAATGCAAGCCCATATTACTTTTGTACTTCATAAAAGATTCTTGATTGGAACGTCGACATTACGTTGTGTTATCATATGAAATTATTTTGTATTATAAAGAAAGGGGACCGTGATTTTTACAAAAACCATGTGTTTAATTGGAACCTGTATCCATCTTTAAAAAAAACAATTTCGAAACAAATAAAATATGTACCTGTTCGACAATTTAAAAAACTAAAATTTTAAAAATTTCTTAGCTTTGATATTAAAGACAAAAATTATTTGGAAATTTTCGAATATACCTCAATTATTGTATAGAAAATTGTATAAAACAATATTGTTGTAAGTGAAACATATAAGAGTTATTTAAAAAGTTTATATGTATACATAAATGTAAAAATATCTTCAGTATTTTTGTTCACAGAAAGTAAATATATGAGGAGACGAACAACCGATCCGGCAATTTTGCATTTTACATTAAATTCTAGACAAGTAAATGCAATTTTAATGTATAATAATATTATTAGTAAATTACAAAACATTGTTTCGTTCTCTAGCATCCATAAGATACTTTTTGACATCTTAAATGACATATATGGTCTATAACACTAAACATTTGTTCTGTTATTGAATACCAAACATTGTTAACTATATGATATACAGTTTACCATTCGACTTTATCATAAATAACATTTCAACAATTAATAATGAAAGAATAATAGAATGTGTTTTCGTGTTTAATTGTATGCAATTACAAATTACAAGTGTGAAAAGTATCTCTAAATTATCTTGGATGATTATACATGTAACCCGTAATTAATTCATCACACTCATAATTTGCAAGTATTAATAATGATGTTTTCATCAACATACAAATCAAACAAAGCAATTTATCGACTGGATGCAACTAAAAATTTCAAGTCAATTTATTTTTGGATTATAAAATATGTAAAATGGAAAGCAAAATGTTTTTGAAAGGAATATTTTGTCTTTAAAGTCGAATGGAAAAATCCATTTGCTTTTATAAAAATTGAATTATAACGTGAAACGCTATATTAAAATACTATGTTGTACAATTTGCTTGGTATACGATATTACTATACAGTCATCATTTAAAAATTATGTTTCTGGTTGTTTGCACACTTCCATCGATAGGTTGTTCTTTATTACTGGCAGCATTTTTGATGAACTTCAATTTAAAGAAACTGAGTTTTACAATTTTTCTTTTGTTATGCAACAGAGACGGGCATCGTTTAGTGTTTTCGAGACTTTATTTAATACGAAACCAATTCGTTATATATATTTTTATGATACCTCCACTCATATAAATATTTCTTTTTAACTGTCTTTTTGAAATTGAACTTTATAGACTAAGCAAATATATCAACATAAATATTATGTATCAAATATAGTTATTTAATTTTATAGAAGTATTCAATTTGAATTATTATCTTTTTTTATTATGGAGTTTTGCCTGTCTCTTTCGTAACTTCTGCAAATTTCAGTACACATCAATTACGATAATTTTTAAATACATATACAAATTTAAATCCACAGAAAAACTAGTATGATATGAGTTTAGAATACACACAATTACAATAATCGTATAAAATACACATACAGAAATAACTACAACCAGAACAATTTCAGATATCTACAAATTACTTTATAGTCTATCATTATTATCTTGCAAATATTGTTTCAATTATTTTGTATTCTTTTGCCAGGGTGACCACGGACGTCTTTGTTTCCGAGGTCTTTTGTGTTGCTTGTTCTTCAATTTACATTGGTTCTCTGTATAAACATACAGCATAAAAAATATAAGTTATTAAAAAATTGTACAGAAAATGATCAAACATCTTGTACATTTATATATAGTAATGAATTTCGACATGTAATTTTTACGAAGTTAACAATAACATTCTTATTATATTATGTGATAATTGTAATGTATATAATGCACATAATATAGATTAAAAATGATACAGAGGCAAAGCCTAGTCAAAGAAGTCTGTTATAAACTTCACCAGATTCTTACTTTCCTATAATAACTCTAACATTTGTAATTGTAATTATATGATACCAATGTAATAGCATATTGTAGTTCCATCTACACTTTGACAACTTATATTCATTTTATTTCTACCGAATCTTATAGAATAGATGTTTTAAAAAGTATACATTATATTGTATTTCAGTTTAGAACATTGTAACAAAGCGGGTCACCCTGGAAAAGTGTTGTACGAGCGACGTTCCCATTTTTTCATTTTTATGCTAAAAAGTTCCATTTTGTATTATTTGCTGGATTTGTATTTTAAGAAAATGGGATGTTCAAGTTTCAGAAAATATTTTTTCGTTCGTACAACAATTCAATTTAAGTAAAATATTTATTATCGCAATATACATGCTTCATATAATATGAATATACCATTTCTGTCTATGTTAAACGTTTCTAGATTTGTTTCTTTGCACTGTAAGAAAAACGATGTCTATACATGACAAGCTCAATAATAGAATTTACAAATATTTTCTCTTCACAATATTTAAAATTGTTTTACTACTGTACTTTAGGCTATGCAAATATTATTGTACCGGAAGACGGTGTTGTAATATTGCGAAAATATTAAAATATTTTAACGGGCGTGTTTCCACACAATCCTGCATACCTAAAGGGCGGAAATCGAGTCGGTGCCAATAACTTTTTGAATAAAGTTTCACAGGGTTTACTAAAATGCAAGTGCCATATCAATTTCAACTTATTGTATTAAGGTACATTCGATCGATTGATGTGACAGCAAATTGAAAACACAGCTTCATTGATTTATTATTATAAACATAAAAAATTGCGTATCAATATATTTTATTTCTTCTTTTACCTTTATAATATTAAAACACAGATGGAGCTGTACATTTTGAATTTGTTCTCAATATCACTTACACATTCAAAGAGTTAACTTAACATTGTTTAGGAATACACATGTGTTAATAATTACTAGTTACTCTGAATATCATTTTTTTTTTTTAACAATGTGACAAGCTTTATACGTTTATCATTTTTACGAGATCAACACAAAGTTATAAACAACGTGAAATAGCTTCAACCTCCGTCGTATGAAGTAATGCAGAATTATCTATAGAAATTAGAAACATTAACAGATCACATTCATTTCTCGTAGAACGTAACTTTATTACTTTCATAAATTTTTTGAAAATGGCACTGTTTAAAGATTGTACCTTGTGCACGTTACTGCTGCCTTTTTTATTTACTTTTATGTTCCTTTCATGCAAATTCTTGAAACTAAACGAAATTAAATGGAACCACCGATTATTAATTCCGACAAAATGAATAATCAACTGCTCTGATTTTTAAAAGAATCGTAAAAACTCGCGACTATAACATTCTTTGACATTATTTTGACACGAGGCATTAATATTAAAATATGAGGATGCAAATGACTGATATATTCTGCAAGAAAATTTACATACAATAGTAGGAAATTTCATCTTTTTATTAAGTATTTTTAACATTGCTCATCATTCAAATTAAAGTACCAATGAGATTTCATTTTTAGACTTTAAAAATTCAAATACAAGTAAAGACAATACACCATGACCGCAAAGAATTATAACGCAAGTACATAAAAACATGTCAAAATAATGTGAATGAAATAACTTCCGTGTAATTTAAATATGTTCACGATTCTTATAAATTTGAAATAGTTTGATTAATGTTATCCAAAAGTTGTATGGGCTTGCCACATTTTATGCTCAGATGGGCAAATGCTTCTTTTTAGTTTGACAATTAGGTAATTATCAATACCACTATAATTCAATTATACAAGATGCGTGTCGAAGATTCCTTAACATGTGATCACACAATTGAAAATTTACAGCCTTCTTTTTCGTATGCAAAATATTTGAATCTTCGTAGATACCAACATACCGAATGACAAGATCTAAGTAGAGAAATTGTTATTACATAATCACAGTTGTACAGCCATTTGCTACCTCGTATTTAATACAAAAATGCTTAGACATTAGTACTGCAGAACTAGATTTTTATTTGTGTCCGTCAGTGTTAATTTCAGTCTGATAAAAACTATATTACCGTAAAAAGAAAGAGATCGCTATCATAATTGAAGGGAATCGCCAATTAAAGCTCGCACATTAAAATACACATGAGTTTACAATCTAAGCAGTTTTGCAATACTATAACGGACAATTATACGAATATTTCAAGGAGCATACGTTTACATAATAATTGCAATAATACGAGACGCTACAAATCGGATTATTATCCATAATGTGTCCACGTTTGCAGAATAAAAGAAAGAACATAAGTGAAAAGATATTAAAAATAGAAAATTAAAAGGAAAATGTTAATTAGTATTAGTACAAAAAGAAAAGGAAGGTATCGCTATGTTTCAGAATATTGAGCAGTTACTGTTGCAAACAAGAACACATTCACGATGAATAAAAACCAATTTCTGTTTAGACAGAGTACTCGTTTATCGGAATTCGTACTGCTACTATCTAAATAACAAATGCATTAGTCATATATCAAAACTACAAGTGATTAAAGATGATACAGGTTTATAGCAAGTATCTTTAGTTATAAATCGTAATATAAATGTTCAGCAAATTTGTTTTTAAATATTACATATTACTATTTTATGCAATTTATTTATTGTACAGTAATCTAATGATTATGTGTATGTTTTGCTTTCTGGAGTGTGCAGATAATTCTTCTACGACATTAGAGAACCATCTGCCCTTTTCTTTGATCACGAATCTACAGAAAAAAATGAAACAACAGGCAATCTCTGTAACGTTCAACTAGTACATAAATAAACGTTCGTAATATGGTTCTCCTGACTTCAGCAATGTTCAACACAGGAGAAGAATCATTCGCACAAAACAGAGCATGTAACGTTTTGTATTTGTATTATTGTAACTTGTCAAAAATATATTATTCAATTTGATCTGCCCTATTGTTGGTTTTCTTTGTGCAATATTCAAAGAAATCCAACTGACTTTACCGTTAAACATATAAATGTATTATAGTAATTTATAAATATATTTTTTATTTTTTCATATTTAGGAAATTCAATGTACCAAACATCGTATTATAGTATTTGTTCATACTATTCTGACTATGTATAAATTTTAAACTGGAGTAAGATAAAAAAATTAATTGTTACAAATCAATGGTTAAAAAATGCCTTAACGCCTAAATTTAGATATCATTATATGTGCCAAAAATACAAATCACTTTGAAATGAAAACAATCACTGAAACCAACAACTGGGGCAGTACTATATAAATATTCAACTGTATGTTTTCTTTAGTACACAATATTAGCTAATTAATTTATTTTGTTACTCTCCTATTACCCTATTTTGTAATTAAACTTGTTGCTTTCATAATAATTTATGTTCTTACTAATTAATATTTTAATCATGTTATTGTTATAAGTAAAATAGTATATGTATATTGTAATTGTTTATAATATTTAATATTATATAATTTCAGAATATCTTTCCTAGATTTTCACACAACTTACTGTAATCATAGGTTTACCTCAATGTTACACAAAATAAAAAAAGATTTTTCTTTGCCTTACAACTATATATTATAATATCCTATTTCGCACATAAGTACTTTTTTGATTTCAAATTACAAAATAAAATCATCTTCAATTTCGGCATTGGTATCATTTAAATACTATAGAGGTAACATTATGATTACGGGAAATTGGTGAAACGAGCATTCTTTACAAGTACGTTATTAACGAGCTAGTTGTTTTAATTGTTTAATCTTCTACTATTTCTATCACAAGGTAGTGAAAATTTTGAAGCTTCTGTATGTAAGAATAACAATATAACGTTTATAATATCATTGACACGATTTAAAAAGAATCGGGATATAAGAATAGTATTTGAGATAAAATATATTCAAAGAACGCGTCGATAAATACTTTTCCGAACCGTCGTATTGGTGTACTTATAAAGAATGCATTTAAAAATGCATTATTACAGTGCTAAATTGATTAAATTCTAAATAGTACTTTGAAACTTATATCATGGTATGCACGATCTCGAGGAAAATTAAAATATTTGTTTATTTATTCATCACACCTTAAATGGAATATAACATATACTTTATATTTGCAACAATATCTCTTTTCGATCAATTTGTTCGCAAAATTGTCGATTTTTGTTAGTACCAAGGAATAAAAAATTATTTTATTCCCTTTTTGCTTTTTTATCTTCTTTCAGAGTTTACATTTCGCCGGTAGATTGTTTATACCATGATATACACAAATTGTATTTTTTTGTAGTAACATCTATTATATTTTAATATTAATAATCTGTAATAAAAACGGACCTAATAAAAACATTTATTTCTTTTTTGGCCTCACTTTTGATACTAAACTATGAAGGTAATTGAAGAAAAAGAAACAATATGTTTCATTATTGAGTGTTAAATAATTAAATAATTAAGTAAAGTTTGCTATAATACCCTTTGCTAGTTTAGTTAAATTTGCATAACGTATTTTTTTTATGTTTATTTGGAATATAGTTTTGCATTAACAAGATTCATGACTTGTTTGAAAAAAGTTAGAGCTAACGATAAAAAATACATGCTTGTTCTTCAAAGTGTAATTTGTGCAGGGTATTATACATTTAAAATAATTTTAATTATAATGTAAACATTAAATAATAGTCTTTAAAATTGATTATTGTAACATTTTATATCTACGAGGAAAAAATTTGATAATGTCCTATCTATTCTAGTCATTTTTTAGGCAATATTTTACCTTTCTCATCATGAATGTATAGTCAATTTAATAATAGCAATTACCAGCTACATATTCAACATAAAAATATTCATAGAGCCGGTATACAAATGCAATTCATGCGTTTTATTGAAAAAAGCTAATTGGCATGCACAGTTAGTTGCATGACACATTGAGCTGTAATACGTATGTCACACCATACAACTAGTATCATAAATATGAGTACCATCGTATCTTTCTTTTGATTAAATTGAAAAATCCTAGATATTCATAATATTCTTATACCTAAAATGTAAAAAGTTACAACACAAACATTGAGTTCAATTAATTTAGTAATGTACTCGTTATAGATTATATTTCTTCATTGCTATTACACACTATTAAATGTAGCGTTTAATTTCAATAGTAATAATATATAATGTAATTAGATATATTAAGCATACTTAAACTTTAAAAAGTAGTGTACTGCGTATACAGAAAAGCATGAAATGTATACAATGATATATTATAATCAATGTTATTAGCTATAAAGAGAAAGTAAAGCACATTTATATAAAAATTTTAACTACTATTATGTTCTTCGATGTATCCAAAGTATAAAATTTTTTTTTTTTATGAATTATAATTTGAGTATATTTTATAGAAATTATAAAAGGTGAAATATATATATGTATATATATATAGATTTAAGGACAAAAACAAGAGAACAATAAAAGTGTCAGAAGCTCGAAATAATACATGTATCTTTGTTTATTTCAATATTGAAATTGTTAAATGTATTATTTTTTCAATACACCTTTACGAATTCCAATTTATTTCTTGCTATAAATATGAGCAATTTTATTACTTTATATAAAAATCTAGAAATTATATGTCCCTTATATAATAGTACTACCTTCCATCAATACTATCTTTTCAACCAAAGATATAAAATTTGTTAATACTTGTATCATTACCGTCAGTACGGGTCAATTGAAAAATCCTATTTAAATATAGTTTTAAATACAATAGAAATATCATTTTACGTGACATACGTTTAACAGCTCAGCAATTGAGGAAAATCATCCCATAAATATTATACGTGGGACATGTTATTTTTGTTGCGCTTAATTATGGTATTACAATTTTTAAACAAATATATACTTTAGAGGTCCCAAAACTTTGTCCATCATTAGTATGAGTACACTGTTTTCTTTTTCTTCGCGCCACAAGTGTGTAATTGGCGTACATACACGTATTATAAATGCTAACTATTTAGCACTCTGGCTAATAAATGTATTTTGAATTATGTATATAATAAACAAAGTATTTTTTCATTCCAAGATCAATAATATGAATACTTACTTTAAAGGATGTGACATTAGAATCTTTATAAACAGCTATATAGCAGCATGACCGTTGACACAAAAAGTATGACAAATAGAGACTACGTACATATACGAAGTCTTATCACATCCATATTCACTTTGGCGATAGTCAGATTATATATTTCAGTAATTTCTTTCATTTCTTCTATTGCGATCATACGTGTACTGTAGTACAAATTTTTTTTAATTGTTCATTTAATATACCATCGCATTCGAAGTAGTAGCTTTATATGAAGTTTTAATATTACTCGCAATAGGGTTTTGAGATATTTGTTCTTGTTGCCGAGAAAGAGCGTAGATATAACAACGGGAGTTCTAACAAAATATTCAGACCTAACTCGTGGAGACAACCGGAGTCTGGCAGTACGGGCACTCTCGTTGATTTGGAGCGCACGTCGAGCAGACCACGTAGTGGTTACAGGGTGAGAGGGTAACAGTGCGATTTTGTTCTTCACAAACCATGCACTTTGTTGCCGTTTCTCTGTACAGCACCTGTAACGGCAACGACTGAGCTACCTATAGTGTATCCATTAATCGAAGTAGTCGCAAAGATTAATTACACGATTATCAGAAAGATTCTTGATTGCCAATTGAAACGTTTCAGAGTAACATGAAAAACTTTAGATTAATCGATAGAAGAGAATAGTGTGATGAAGATGAGGTAGTAGTAGTAGTAGTAGTTGTTGTGGAAATTAATTTTTTCGCATCCTCTTCGATAAGCTAATCATTATTTGAGAATCGCCCGTCATACCAGCTGTTCAAACCGGCGTGACAACTTTGTTTTACCTTTTCCACTTCTTCAAGATCCGAACGGAGCTGCGATTGAATTGATTTTAATGCAGCTATCGATAATGATCTGAGTTCATTTGTTCTTCTTAGAGTATGAAGGTATGGGCCACCACTAGATGCTTCATTTTCGGCCGTCAATGCTTTCACTTTCAATAAGGCCTGTCAATAATTTATATTCCTAATATTTACGAATATAATTCACAGAAGAATGATTAAATATTTGCAATTTGTAACAAGATAACATAAAATGTGTTACTAATTAAGTAACACATAAAAATTTCAGTTTTAACTCCTGATATATTAACCGAACGAAATATCTACCTCGTCTCTCTGTTGTTCAGCAATTCTTGCTCTATTTGTAGCTTCTTCAGTTTCTAATTGCCATGCTGCACAAGCTGCTCTAGCTTGATTAATTCGTTCGTCCCATGTTGCTAATTGAACGCGGCTCGACGTTAATTCTTCTCTAAGCCTTTGTACCTACAGTTAAGTCATTACATACGGATTATCTTTTTCTGTGGTTTTATTTGCGAACAATGGTGTTCGATAAAAAATTGGGGGAGTATCTAACCTCAGGTAAAGATCCTGTATTACTCGGACTAATGGAAAATGCATTTACCAATGGAGATGCTGGGAGAGGTTGTGTACGAGATGGAGACATTCCTTGATTCGTAAAATCAAATAAGCTACTATTAAATCCACTAAGTTTAGAAGCTGAACTGCTAAGTTGTGAAATATGATTGCTAAATGGATCTGATACTTGATTCATAAATGGCATTGTCTGAAATCATTTGAAAAACAAAAATAAAATATTAAAATAACGTTGGAATATTTTTTAACAATAAATTTAATATCAAGAATTTACAAATTTACCGATTCCATCGAATCTTGATGAGAAAATCTGGACCCGGTAAGAAAACCAGATGAATGTAGTTGCTGAAGTGGACTGGATGTAGATGGTGAAAAATTAGAAAGAACAGAACGTTCTGCCATTCCCGGAATATTAACTGGAGCAGAGCTTCCCAATAATCCAGAACTTGCTAGGCCTGCTGATATTGAATTGCTAATTGGTGAATTAGTATCCCTATGAATTGATTCTACTAAATTTAAAGGATCATCTAGATGTAACTCATCTAATGCATTTCCTAAAAGTACAGAAAAACATAATTAATGGTATGTATTAAAAGAGAAATGTATGTACCTGTTTTTGCTTTAATATTTAATATAACTTACCTACTACAGATTCCACAGTGTCATTTGGGTAAAATGAACTTGAAAGTGGCGAAACAGTAGTCGCTAATGAATGACTACCCAATGTACCATTTAAACTATAAGCAATGTATAGACTTTGTTTCTGTTGTGCTTTTTCAGCTTTTGTTAATAAAGGATCACTATCTATAGCAACCATTTGTTTTCGTATTTCACCCTATTTAATATTGATATTAGTTACTATCACACTGTTAACAACCATTTTCAAACTTAGAATGATAAAACTTACAACTTGAATAAGAGAACTGGGATTGTAAAGTATACTTGTTAACTTCTGTTGATTGGAAGTATTTACAGTAGTATTGGAATTAGAGTTATGAAGTTGAGCACCAGGAGCTTTGCTGTGTGAACTATTGCTACCAATACTACTAGTACTTGCTGATTCTGATACTTCACCGCTTCCATTCTACAATTAATGCATTTAATAGTATTAATAATTAAATAAATTCTTTTCATCAAGATACACAATAATGTTAAAAACTTACACTGCTATCGCTAAGTGGTTTATCCTTTTCATGAGTACGCTTATCAGGCGGAAGCGCATTGCTGAGAATATCTGCCAGATTGGTGCCACATTCTATAGGTACTGCCATGTCCCTCGCCAGGCTCATTTCTTCTGTTGGCAACACTGCTCCATCAGCACACCATACCAACGTCCCAATATATCAATTTTGAGAAGCAATTTTGAATACTAAATTTATCATTTACAAGACGCCTACATTTATTAGATAAAATCCTCAAAAATAAATAAATGCTGAAATGCTTTTACATAGAAGCGATAACGAAAAGCAGTTTCTTGTAAGTTAGTAAATAAAAGTTTGCGTCGTTTAAAATTATTGCAACAAATTGCATTTAAAGCGATTAAGTATTACGATTAAAGCCAAAACAAATGTGAAAAGAATCTTTTGAACTTACTAAGGTAATAATAAGTGTTTTACGTACGATTTATGAGGGTACACTCACGGTCAACATGTGCAAAAGCACAGAAGACTCCGCGCGGACAGTAACCAGCTTGTTGTACATCGTTGCACTTTGTAGATTTGTATATTTCAGGATGGAATTGCTGTTCTGTACGTGTATGACAATATGAACAGGCATCTCCCTGCTCGCAATTGCCTGGTTCACCCCATTCTTCTCCATGCTTTACATTAGGACAAGGTGTTGATCTAAAATAAATAAAATTATTAGCTGAAGAAAATTTTCTTTTTATGTAAAACGATTGCTATTTATTACTTACCGATACTTGTGTTTACGTGGACTACGTCTTTTATCTTTACTATTATGATACTGTGGACAAGCATAACCCTGACGACAAAGTCTTGGTGGGCGTTTACAAGGTTCGGTTTTATAATTCCCAAGTACATAATTTGTATCCTGCCACTTAGGATCTTCATTCATTAAGTTTCGTTCCTTATCAAGTATGTTTGGTCCATTGGACGATGAATTGGGATCAGAATCAGGGTTTTCCAATGCTTGTATCTCTTTAATGTCATAGACAGGTGGTCGAATATCATGATTGCCATGTGCAAAGGCACAATGAGGTCCATTCTTAACACAGAATCCACGTGAGTCCGTATCATGAACACACATGCAAGTTTTGTAATAACGTAGGTGGTAACGTCTTTCTGTATCTCCAGCAGTACGATGAAGAAATGGACACCTGTTTAATAAAGCATTTTATGTAAATTATTGCAAGTATGTTGCTATAAATTACATAGTCTCAGAAATAAAGCATAGAAAGATAAAATAAATGAAACAATTTTTGATTGATACATATAGATCAAAATATAAATTGATTAAATTATTTACCATTATTTATATTCATTTACTTTATTTCTACAATAATTTTTGGATACTATAAAAAAAGTTAAAAGACTTTGTAAAAGATCAGACTCTATTTTATAAAAAGTTTATTGTAATGCACGAATTCACATTTTGTGCAAAATATTAATCCATTAAAACTTAATTAAAAAATTCGTGATTAGAGTTTACTAGAAATATCTACAGATTTACGAAAACATATATAAGAATATTAAAAAATAAAAGTTTATAAATTTTATTACAAAAACAAATATGACCTTGTATCAATATTTTTAATTTTTGCGCGATAATTGCATTATCATAGTACCAATGTTCTTTTACGGTGTAGCAACAAGGATACTACATATAATTCTTTGTTGCCACCATGTCACGTAAGAGAAAATCAATATCAGTAGGCTCCTTTGTTTGGAAACATGAGACGCTGCGATATTTTGGAGGGAAAACCAATCGCGAGTGTTTTCATTAACATATTATACATAAAATATGATCTTGCCAGTCGTTTAATGGCAAATTGTGTTCAAACATTGTAAAAAGTTGCATTTTTCGAAACTAGAAGAATGAATATATAATTACTATATTAATTTATAAAGTGAAAAAGTTATTCTTAATAAACATAGAATGACGAACGACTGTAATAGCTGAACGAAACTTTATCTAAATAAATTACATTCAATAAAATATGTAATTTACTGTTTTTATATTATCGTATAAAAGTATTTTTATTATAGTTCAGTCTTTTATTTCCAAATGTCTCTGTTAGAAACTACTACCAGTGTTAACATTCGAGAATTTAAGTTAATAACAAGTGAACAGTAGAAACTTATTCATTCATCTAATCTCGCGTGCGATATCGTAGAAAGTTAAACGTAGAAATGATTCATAAATATTCTTCATATTACGAATAATACAATTTTTAAATGAACCTCTATGCAAATAGTTAACCAGCTGTTTTCGGTTTTTTAAGAGCCATGAAAAACTGGTTACATTTGTTTTCATTAATAGATAATACGTTTAATGCATTTATTGATAATTTTTGTAATTCCACTTGTTCCTCTTGAACAACTTTTAATCGACATATTCCTTTGTATTTTCTAAGTTTTATTGTTTACAAAATATATTAAATCAAATTATTTTTTTTGTAATATTAATAAAAAAGATATATATCCCCACCTTTGAGAAATGATTATTATAGAATTAATATTGACGAATTAAAAACAAAATAAATAAAAAACGATGACCTTCATTCTGTATCCTTTACAGATATCTAGAACCAAATAAGACCGAGTCAGTAACCTCGACGTCGTAAATAAGTTCCTTTGTATTTTATTTTCCGTTATATCTTAAATTTCGAAAGAAAAAAAATAGACGAAATTCTATGTAGGGCAACTTCTAATACGTAAATTAAATGAATTAATGCGTAACAAAACATGTTGGGGGGAAATTACGTTCTGGGCGGCGTAAAACATGGCTATAGAAGACATTGTAGCTATGTTGGAATCTATAAAGAAGTTTCTGCCTAGCTTCGTTGAGGTTATCTACAATGGATGACAACAGGTTAGCACCCGACGGTAGGTAGGTATGGTATAATCTATCGCGAGCAATGGCGGTTGCGACATGTAAGCATACACTTAGAAGAAGGTGGACATGACTTACGATGTACTGTTCAATTTAATTTTTCAACATTGATTTCACTGATTTAATTTAGAATATTCTACATTTAAAACTTTGGTAAACTTATAATTTCGTAGATTGCTAGTAAAAGTATTGAACTTTATTCGTCAACGTAACGTTTTGATTTTTCTTTTTCCTTTAGACGCATAGAATTTAGGTCAAATACACTTTAAGAAGATTCGCGTGTTCTATGCGGTAATCAAATCCGAAAAATCTATAAATATCATTAGAAACATCTTAATGTTAGCTAAATCGAATATTATTAACAAATGTAAATTACCAAATTAGAATAAATTTGTTAGAAATAAAATCTGTAGGAAAGAATTATAAATATAGAATAAAAAATAAAACAAAAAGAATAATACGTCCGTACGGGACATGAAAAAAAAAAGAACGCAGAGATATGTCATCTCGTGCAGGCGAGTTTATTCCTGAATAGTACCTGTAAGTAAGCGAAAGCTTACGAATTATGCAATACCTGGAATGGTGGTTTCATAAGGGGCGATTGAAACATTCTGAAGATTTACACATTGTAACTGAATTGTACCTACTATTTCTAGAAATGCAGACCGTGCTAATTTTGTGATTCATTCTTTGCGGATCATTGACATGGCTATCATTAAACGAATTTGTTAACATAGAACACCGAGTAACGTATACGTCTATACATAATATATACTACATTAACAATTTCTCATCGGGAACGTAGCGCGACAATGAATGTCTTGTAGCAATTAGAGCGTTTCGTCGTAGAAATATACCAATAAATGCAAAAATCGTCATAAAATGCAAGTAAATAAGTAAAACTGTTATGGCTACGTTTACTACTTCCATACTGCTTTCTCGTTGTATGCAAATCCAACACGCGGGTGCAACAATGTTCAATGTTCGTGAGTCTCACATATACATGCGTGGCGTCATGTACGCACACGCGTGCGCGCGTGACTCTCGAAAGTTACGTCGAAATTGGCCTCCTCTTCGTTACATAGGTTATTCAAGACGAAACGTTACGTTCTTACGCGTTACCACGCAGATGCATATTACATATTACAGCACACGCGTGTCAACGACACAAAGAAACGCGACAGCGACCGCTGCTTTTCCCTCAACAAACATCGATTTCCGACGATATCTGAAGAAGCTGTTTTATTATAGTGGCAGAGAACTCGTTTACCTACGATTCTTAAACACGAAAATAATACGCTTCGCTTTACACGAAGAGAAACCTCTAACTCGCTTATGTACGCGTATGTATACATGAGGCGAGTGGTCGAAAGCAAAAAATAAGTAACTGGTGCATGGTGGTCTCATCGGAACCGTGCATGCTGAAACTAAGAAATTGCAATGTTTCTGAGAGAAAGGTAGAGCAAAACGGAGAGAGTTTAATATTGTTGGTCAGCGACTGATAGACGACAAATCGATGCATTTTACACGAGATATCGCATATCGCGGATACTCTACTGGCAGAGAGACCCGTCGAGAAAGGAAGTCACTAGTAAGGCTTACACGACAGATAAACTTACTCGTCTCCATCTGGACATATGCCGGTGGTTTCGTCGTACTTGATGCAATAATTATCGGCGCTATAGTTGAAGGTGCGGTCCCTCTTTCTCACCGGTCTACGCCTCCGCTGGTTCATAAAGTGCCAGTTGAAGCACGTGAAGGGTCGGTGTTGTGTGCATTTGCGCTGTATAAAGAGGGGACATTGTTCGATGCGAAATTCCTTCAAGTATCTGGAATGCGAATCCACAGAGCTACACATTATTTCGTGGCGGTTTTTGACGCGCGCGTCGATGCCGCGCTGCTCGCGGCCCTCCCTCTCTTTTTCCGTTTTCTTTCTCCCTTTTTTTTAGTATTTATTTATTTACGTAGCATACATGTACGTATTATTTTTTTTTGTTTGCACTCCACTTTGAATCACGCACTTTTTGGCTTCCAATTTTTTATTCTCACTTTTCTCACGTAGCACGCGACCGGCCCGGCGGGCGCTTACTTACGTGTAATGATTCGCCTTTTCCGCCTGAGCTGTCAACAAAGGTTTAGAGTCGGACTTCATCTTGGGGGCAACACAACCGAGCAACGCGCGCGCACACACACGAACGTACGGGCGAACGGCACTCTCTCTCGTCTTTCTCGTCGTCCTCGTCGTCGTCGTCGTCGTTGCCGTCGCGTAGTCTGCTTTAGCCCCTTTTCCCCGCTAAACCTCTACCATCTATCGGACACAGAATGCGGGACGCAGGGCGCGCACGGCGCAATACACATTATATGCGCCTCGACTATCCAATCCTCGTGCTCTCTCACGGTCACGTGACTGTTCCTCTTTCAAGGTCATTGATGTTTTGGTTCGCCCGCACATAAACACGCTTTCGTACGAATGCCGGTGTTTTGAGACAAAAAAAATTGAGAATTATTCACTTTATTGATTGTAACATTTTTTTGATCGCTCAAAACGTGGTAGATATCCTCGCTCTTCCGTTGAGTGTAAAAAAGGGGAACACACGTCGAAAATACAACGATCGATTACACGCGCTCGACTTCGATCGAGAGTTCCGATTCTGTGCTACGTTCTCACTGAATCTGATTCGGCAACGTGTAACTGTACCTTTTGCAAACACCGATGACTCCCTCTTAATCTTTTTTTGATACCTCTTATACATCAAATATCACTGATTATACGCATATTTTACTCATATCATGTTGTTTTTTAACTATTTTACAATGTCAATTGTTTTTTACAATTTTTATAATTTATTATATTGTTCTGTATTTCTTGCATAAATTCTTAACTGTGATTCAGTAAGTTCCTTGTTATCATGTATGCGATGCTTATCCTGTCACAAGAACGCATAATCGTATCGGCGTGTAATTTCTTTTAAAAGGATGATGTAATTTATCCGATGAAAAATTTGTACTGTATATGGGATTACAATTTTTAACTGATATTATTTTTAAAGTCATATCATGTCGCAAAAATAATCAAATCATAAGTGGTTTTATTTTCTTCGCCGTAAGCACATGTTGATGATCGTAATATAAGCGTAGCATGAGTGTAGTTTCAATGGAAAAATACGATTTCGTGTCTCACTTTCACTTTGACGTCGTACTAACTTCAAATTACATTACTCCTTTGGTCACTGATCTTACGTGTTTCAAAACTTCGTTTTATTAACACAATCGTATTTCAACATCACAAGCACGTTTACTTGTCGATACGTAAGTTTCGTTATAGCAAAGATTACGTGTATGTATGATCTCTTATCGCCTCTTCGCAACTATTCCGATACATATTTAGATACCTGTGTTGAGTACGGTCAGCTTCACCAGTTTTTCTTTGATGACGATTGTCTAAACTTGTCGGACCACGTTTCGTGATTCGTAAACCGCGATATGCAACGTTTAACACTAACTTGTGAGGCACAAGTGATACGCTTTTCTGTACCCCCACTCTTCCTGATGAAACGCATTACATACAAATCTGTACTTTATCGTTTAAAAACTTTTGTTTTTGTTTAGATGAACATTTTATAAAATATGTTTCACTTATTAATCGAATAATGCTTAATGGTTTTTATTATATTTTAAGAAACTGCTATAAGATTTACAATTTCCGCTCAAACGATACGTATGTTGGAATATGCCATTTCTTAAAGCATGCGCAATTACATATTTGTTGCGAATCAGAGCATAGAGCTGTAGCCAATCAGAACGAAAATATGCAACAATTTTTGTCCAGAATGTTCAACAAGTGACTTGTAATGATTCGTCAGACATATTAATATTTGAATGATTATTTTTAGAAAAATATTGACGGAGAGAATATAACAATAATAGTAGCTATTTTTTGTAAATATTTATCTTTATGATTGTAAAATACAGAATCATTTTTTTTATACATTCGAAATTAAAAACAAATCGAGACTACAGCATAAAATTATTTGTTTATTTTTTAATATATTCTATCTTTTCTTATCTACATTGTATATACTGTTTTTATTGCATAGTTTGAACATTTTTTTCTTTGAAATTTACCGATTTTTCTAACAATTTTTTATGTATAAAAAAGGATGTTGACGAAAATGTACGCGTTTTTTTTATCACACTTATGTTTAATGTATACAAAAATGTAAAGAAATATGATAATATTGAGAAGAAACATACATACAATGATTAAAAATGTGCAGTAGAAGATGAAGGCATTTTAATTACATTACGACAATAATATAAATAATTGTTTGTGACAAAAAAGAAAAGAATTGTCATAAGAAATATTTTGTAATGAAATGTAAGTAAACAGTACGGCTAATATTTTACATTACGCAAATACTTGATGTAAATAATAATAGTTTTATACAATTTTACATTGTAATAATAGTTATTACAATCAAAATTTATAGTAGAAGTAGTATTCTGACTGTAAGTAGTAGACATTTGGCGCTATAATTCATCTACATGAAATTTAAATTCCTATATAAATTCGTAACTAGATATAATTTTAAGTTTGTTGTCAGTTCAATAATATTACAAATGTTCTATAATTTTGTTCGCAACTCATTTGACTTTGTACAATTATTTTCTTGTCTACACAATATTTAAATAAAATCTTGTAGTACAATGACATACCTAGACACAAACTAAATGTGAACCATTTATCAAACTGATAAAAATATAATGGCTTTACAGTATATGAAAATAATACACATTTGGTTTGTACGTATGCATGTTTGATTAATGCTACATTCATGATACAATTTTTCCCTACAACTTTCATACTTATTGTAATATGTACTACTAATTTTATTCCACTTATGCATTATTTTTTTTTGTAAGAAGTAATAAGATTAGAGTATTCTACTATAATTTTTCACTTTAAAATCACTTGCTTCTGTGAACATAGGTTTTTAATCTTTTGAAACATGCAGATTACAATTTCCGAAATGTACATCGGTTTTTGTTTATATTGCTATTGAAATAGTTGCATTATATGCTTTCTTTTTTATAAGAAATCAGTTATAATTCATTTCCAAAACTATGTTTCAAGAAATTAATATGTGCAGGCATTAAGCTTTCAATTTCCAATGCTTTGAAGTAAAAAGACATATGTTTCACTTAACAGATATTATTTGTGATTATTTACGAAAGACCAATACAATAAAGTAGCATATAAAGGAAAGTTCTTTCAATGATAGTAAATTAATTTTGGATTACAAACAAAAGAAATGTTACACTCATGCATATTTTCATTAGAATAGATTTCGTATTTTATATATTGCATTATTCTGTTTGCCATCAGACACACTTAGGTTCGTACTAATATTGAGCACTCCTGGATGGATATTATGCAATTATTAATTAGCTGTATAGTTATTAAAAACTATAACAGTATTTTCAGTGGATGTTTTCCATTGGATGGACTTGTGCATTATATTAGTAAATTTAGAGGCAATTTGCAATATGTGCCCCCACTTTAAAAATGGAGCACTGAGCTTCTTAAGTACTACTTAGTTCAGTTTGACGGCAAACAAACACTGGTCAAAAAGGACAATTGTATAATTATTATCGCTTAATGATGATTTCTATGATTCATGACATCTGGATTCTATATCTATTATAAATATATTTTTATCAGATTTCAGTAAGTAGTTTTTAAATTTCTATTTCATTGTATTCTGTAAAATGTACTTTTTAAACACAGACAGTACCTTACATGTATTTGTTTGTCAAAAAAATTATACTATTTAAAAATTCCATGCCTTTTTTATTCAATTGTATCCAGACAAGATCTTTTTAATATTATAATGTAAATAGAAACAATTTCTTGTAATACGTTGACGACTGATATTAATATATTTTATATTGTGCGACTTTAAATTTATATGGATATATTCCTACATGTTTCAATGAATATATCCAAATTTTAAGACATTATAATATCCACATTTTCCATTATTTAAATTGTATTTCCATAATATGGTCTAACATTCTCAATATAGTAGAAGACATCGTATTTAGTGTTGTACACCATCGATTAAAGTTCAATTCAAAACCCAACTACTTGACATTGAAATATGTAGTATAATCCCTTTATGTATGTATGTGTGTATGTACACATTAATAGTATTTCTATTAAAATTAACAAAATATGTTATTGAAAAACATTAAAAGCAATGCTTACAGTCATTAAATTATTTGCTTGAGATGAATTGGTTATTGTATACAAGGTCTCTAGTTAACAATTTTGAAACTTGAATTTTAGTCAAATAATAATATGTAATTGATAATGATTCAAAATTTGTTGAATATTGTTTGTATACCTTAAAGAATAATGTAAATTATTCACACAATCTTAAAGATAAATATATATACTGGCAGCTTGAAATGTTATGAATTGTTCCAAACGAAATAATGCTATGACTCTATCTTGTACGAATTATGTAAATATTGAAAGAGAGCAAACTTTTATGTATTTACGTAAATTGCCTTTAGTGTAAATAACAAGAAAATGTATTAGAGGTATCATTACATTAACAAGTTTATTTATACAATTAACTATCTATATACAATATATTGGTATGAATGTTGCATAATTTTTTAAACATAGATTTAAAGAGGCTTTTCAATGGCGTTGATCATTCATACACTAAAATTCTAATTACTCGACTCTGTCTGTAATCTGTATACATAAAAGTTATGAATTTGTAATGACATCCCAGACTTTGCAGATGAGCATCCTATACTTATTATTATATCAACCACAAGAGTTTATTTAATTTAAAAAAAAAATTAATACTTTTAATAATAGCCACTGATTAATTCAATTAATCAACGACTATTTTAAGAATGGATTTATAAGATGTCTAATTGGACATAAAAAATGACATGTCGCTACAATGAAAACAATAGTAATGTATTGTAAAAGTGCATGATACGTAGTTGTATATTAATTTTAACATTGCTAAACATTTTATTCGAATACTAAAATCTATGCTTGTTAACATAGTAAATAAATAATAATTAATTGTCGGTCTTGAACAAATTATCTTCACTTAACGTTTTGATCTTATTTGTTTGTAAATCATCTTTAGAATAATTGCAAATTATAAATCTATAAATGTGAGATTAATATTAGAATTATACATTGCAGAGAAATGGTGCAAGTGAACAAATGTTAGGTTGTAAACCATATAAGCATATGAAGTATATAAAAAATATTAAAATATTTACAATAAGTAGAACAAATAAATTAATGAAACTTGAATTCCGATCAACTGCATACCATACTGAAAATTAGTTCTTATACTTATGTACCTCGGATATTGAAAAATTGGTCCAACTACATTTTAAAATATTTGATTTTTTATTAAATATTGAAAAATTAATTTTACTTGTGTGTTAGAAAAATAATCTATTATTTAAACAAAATAATTTATTATACTATATTGTCAAACTGGGATGTTTCTAATATCAGGACTAAATCATACGAAGCAAGTGTATACCAATAAATTGTTGACTACATTGGAAATAGCAATAAAACTATTATAAAGACAGAAACATGGCTACTAGTATATCAAATTCCAAAACAGTAAATTAATATTCTTACATTTGAGCACCCTTCTAGCAACAGTAAGGCAATGTAAACAGAGGTGGCAATGTACAAGTATGCCAGAGTTAAGAGAGTTGAACATATAAATACATGGAGAACAGTTTGGCAGTAACAATGGTAAATTTTAAGGGAAGTTCTGTAGACCAGTATGGAAGCATTTAGAAACTTATTTTAAAATTAATCCAAGAGTGAAATAAGAGATATAAAGAAAATTCTAGAAATTATGTATAATTATAATCTTAATCTTATATTTGCAGGTTTATAATTGTATACTATTTTGAGAATGACTAGAAAATGTATGAGTCGAATTGTTGAATACAAGATAGCCTATTCAAGATTAACAATTAATAATCATTATATTTTAATATTTACGTATGATCTTCTTTTGTAAATTGATGATATAAGATGATTTTAATAATGTGCTATGACAGGCACACATTTATATTTTTTATGAAATTTTCATATATTTATATACATTTTGTGATGTGTTGCAATATCATATTTACTGGTATTGTAAGACATTACCATAATTGAAAAATTAAAAAATGTTTCTTATTCGTTGCAACAGGCTGTGTTATTGAATATAATCTTGTTAAAGATTCATTAGAACAACATACGGTTGCAATTTAATTGAATTCGTTACAATGTTTTGCATTCGTAAGTTTAGTGTTCCTTTTTTTTTACTAAAATGGATTGTACAAGTTTGAATTTAAAATTCTTTTAACAAAGAAAATTTTACTTAATCTATCTCATACGAATAAAAGTCGAATAAATAAATGCAAATTTATAAAATTATGTAGACAAAAAAATCATATTAACTCTACTGATTTTAACCTATGTTTATTCATTTCTATTCGCACCTATTATATATATATATTTACCTGATGTAACAGTGAACTAAATTTAAACAGTTGTTCCGTATGTACTGAACATCACTCTGGTGGTATCTGTGTCCAGAGTAACGTCTTCTGGAGATGCTAAATCGACTTTTATAGATCCAGAATTATTTCTTCTTCTTGTCATACCACCGCCCCAATTAGATAGAGTCCAATGGTAAGTTTCACCCTCTTTTTCGGTCGTGGCGGTTTCTTGTGTCTCATTGTCTTTATCCAAGCCAGTCTCAATAGAAACTGAAGAATGTGAAGCTACTGAATCGAAGCTAGAATCCGCCGCTCCTCTGTAACGGCTAACGTACTCGGTGGACATTTCACCTGGCGATTCTTCAATTGCTCTTAGTATATTCTGACAGAGTTCCGAGTCAAGTGGAATCGGGCTTTCGGAGTCGCGATTGTGAATAGTAACAGCTATATGAGCTGGATGCGGAATAGGAAGCGGAATGAGCAACTTTTCCGCACTGTAAGGACGTATTTGTCGCTTCCATGGTTGCCAACGTACTTCTGTTGTACCGTTTGTTGACGTTGTGCGTTTTTTAATTCTTGTTGACGTTAAAAGTCCTCCAGTGTCGCTGCAAGATAAACAACTTTCTCGTTTCTACGTACACAATGTTTCGTTTGTTGTTTTCAATATTAATCAACAAAAGATTCACGTAAAAACGAAAAGGTTTAAAACTGGAGAGATAAAAATAACTCGATTAACATAAAAAGTAAAACGGAAGATTATTTTTTACCATCGTTTGTCAGATTTTCTGCTATTACTGGTTTGCTTGGCTCGCGGATTAAAAGCGGAAACTTCCAGATAGGGGCTATAAACTTGTATATTTCCACGTGGTGCATAAACAGCTCCAAGTAAATCTGGTCCATTGATACCACCAAGTTCAGTACTATGAATCATATCTGTATAACGTGACAAATCGACCCCTGAATGAGGCTCTAGCCTGAACTTTGTGTCTGTATCATCAAGAGGTTGAAGGAAATTTAAACTGAAAATGTCCGCATACATGAGACCTGCTAATCCAGCCCAGTCACCGACATTTAAACCTTTATTTTCCCAAAAATCTTCTTCGTTTCCTGATAATCTCGCAAACACATGAGTAGGATAGAGACGTTCTAGCATAAGAGCTCCTTGTTGTATGACTACCTACATCATTATCGAAAATTGGTAAATTCAAAATCATAAACAATTTTCGAAAATGAAAACATTTCAAACGATAATCACCTTCAAATCAAAAGTAGTAAGTTTTATTTTACTTCTTACGACCATCGCGAGGCCAGTTTGTAAATTTTTTCTACGTCTATCCAATTTTTCATGTAACATAGCAATTAAATCTTTAGCTTCCTTTTCAAGTGATTTATACGGGTCTTTTGTTTTAGCTAGACTAGCAGCAAATGGGCCAAAACAGGCTTCCACGAACTGAGTAAAATCTCTCTGCGGTTGTGTGATCAAACGTTCTGTTTCTTGCTGGAAAGCTAGTAACTCGTCTAACTCTAGTTTCGCTTCAAATGCAGCTAATGCTTGCTCCGGTCTAATCTATAAATGAAAATGAAGAAAATTAGGGGATTTGCAATGTAATTATTATCGATTATCTGCGACGCATACTTGATAGTAATAATCAGATGTTAGTCCTGGCCCGGCTATCCTTTTAACTACAAAGCTATCGCTGGCAGGTATACGACCCCTGTTCTTTATTACTAAATGAAACATAGCCGTGTCCCAGACCACTCTAATCCAGTAACGTATGACAGCAACTGCAAAGTAACGACATATTTGATGTAAGTTTGAAGAACATGTATTAATTATTAGCTATCATTATTAATTACCTGTAAGTATCAAAAAAGAAATGATGGGACACAAAATAAAAGCTACAATTAATGCTGCGATTGGCTGTAGACATCCTTGTACACCGATATTCCAAATTAACGCTTCCATAATGACTAAATATCGATTCCGACCTGGTTCTGGACTGTCTAGATCCATTATAAGTGCCATGAATGCGTGCAATGTTAAAGTAATTAAAGGCATCCTAAAATAGTTTAAGACCATATTAGCGTTTTAAATTAATCGTAAAATGTCTAAGAAATCGTAACACGGTTAATTAACGAACCACAAAGCTGCAGTAAGTGCAATAATCAGAGATCCCAGACTTGTGAGTATACACATAACAGGAAAAATAAACAATATCACGAGTGTTCCTAAAAGCCCTTTGATACCATAATTCCAAAGCCTATTTAAATGCCTTGTCATTCCTTTTCCAATAAATCCTACGACACAACGAGACATAAATTAGTTAACGAATATATTTTTAAGAAGCACAGTTGAATTGAATTTACCAGTATCCGGTTCCGTTTCAAAATGTGTTCGATTTTTGCTAATGTGTCTCCAAAGAGCTATCAATCGAGAACAAAGAGTGGGCATTTGAGATGACTTTCTGGGAAACAGGGTACCATTTAGTTGACTTAATTCTAGATCAGGAGTAAAAGGTTGCACAAGTAACAGAGCTCGTATAGAGACTGGACTACACCACGGCACTGCTACGCCTAATAAGAACATTGCATTCCACGTCCAACACCATGTCCTAGCTACATAGTTTATCCATCGCCACATAGGCCATCTGTTCAGAAATATTTTAGAATCAGTTAATATCTTAATAAAGTTAAATTCCGATAGTCCGATTATTGCGAACCTTGTTGTAGTTGTGTGTACGATTTCCCTTTCGACTAAGAAGACTGGTTGACTCGGATCAGCACGAGGTGTTGTAATGGATGTCGGAGTACTACTTAGCACCGTTGGTATAACTTCAGACTGGCCTTGAAAATTACGCCTGACGATCCAATTCTTCGGCAGCCATATTTGAGTTGGCCATTGGAAGCTCCTTGTAGGTGTTTTGACTTTGCGCAGTTCTTTCAGTAAAACCGGTTCCCGCTAAAAATATATCACATTTACGTACAAAGAAAGTAAATATCCACTACGTGTTTCTAGTAGAGCTTCTCGAAAAAAGATTTTAATTTGTTGGACAGAGAAATCGACCATTTTACATACCTCTTTCATAAAGGTTAAATCACGGTTAAGAAAGTAAACCGTCTGTTGTAAATTCTGATGAGTACAGAGTGTGAGTGCTTCTTCGTGTGCACTCCATTCGCACTCTTCTATGAACTTATCTTCAACTTCTCTCATCCTGTCACGCATCCAGGGCTCTATTCGCGAGAGAACTGGGCGTTCCACTTCGATATGACGTCTTAGCGATTCCTTAGTTTGCAACAGTTTACGTTGAACAGTTTCTACGGCTCGATGCATTAATACAACTGATTGTGCTTGTTGGACCAGAAGTTGAGCGATTCCGCTTCCAAGGTCAAGTATATCCGGATGCGACAAAATGTTGGAAAAGACCCTTTGTAAATATTCTCGCATAACAGCCTCGTTAACTTCCTAAAGGTGACGTTCAATCGTAATTAAAGAAAATATTTATTTTCTGTAGTATTTGTGTTTATTAAATAAACATAATAATGAATTATCATTTGTTTAATGAGCTTACAATCATCTATTAAGAACGAAATATTTGAAAATGTAGTGACGAAATAAAGTATAGCCAAACTTAAGCCGATTGCTAAAACTAATTAGATAACTTAATTCATTTTCAATATTCCGAGTTCGGAATTAGTTTCAATGTTTAGTAGTTTATACCTTTTCAATCTGTTCATCTGGCTTTTTCCGCGCTCTCAATTCTGATATCAGTCTTTCTCTGAAATGAAGAAACCAGCCTCGCGTCTCTCTCTCCAAAATAGCAACTAGAATCGGTAAAACTTTTCTGATTATGTCTCTGCTAAATAATCTAAGGTCAACCACTGCTCCGCCAGGCGTTCCAAATACAAAAGGAACCGGAATAGGCAACAGTTGCGACAATTCTCTTTCCACTTCGAATTTCTCCATTGTTGCTCGTCGAAGTTGTTTTCGAACGAAACCACATAGAAGTTCTAGAGAATCTTCGTATTCTGGCTACACTCGTAACATAAGAATACATTGAGTTATTATTAATTTACAAAAAAATAGTGTTCTTATATTGGCTTATCCTGAATGCTTTCGTGGTTTTTGATACATCCAACTGTAATACCAGATATCCAAATTACTATACAAATATAATTGAAGATTGGACATGTTATATGTCACTAGTTGGTATTGTTTTATTGAACACATTTAGCACTTAATGATTACAGTGCAAGGATGATGGTCCAATAGATGGTTCTTTAAAAGAATTAGTGGAGGCTAATCCTAGAAGAACTTGTGCAAATTTGTCAGAAAATCTTAGCAATTCGTACAATACTGCGTGGAGTCATCTCCGTACAATGGTAAAGAAAAGCAATTATTAATAAATATATTGAATTTAAGTGGAGCTATGTTGTTTTAAAATGAATAGTTGGAAACCACGGAAACTTTTAGGATGATCCAATACAATTAAAAAGTGGACTCACCCTACACACCAATTCAGCAACCAAATACCGACAACGTTCTTCCCTGATTTTAGCATCTAGATTGTGTGCTTGAAGAGACGGTATTCCAATTATTATGTCTAAGCATAAATGTTCGTATTGTATTAGATTATAGCATTCGAAGAGTAAATACAAGTCTAAGGAAACGATCATTTCTTACCAAGCAGCCGTAACAAGCCTGTTAACAATGATTTCAGAGACTGTGAAATACTGAAGCAATGGGACACTAGTCTAGCTTTTGCCGTAACTACAAGGAATCTGGTCGCCAAAGCAAGATCTCGAAGCAATGCATCTCGTCTTCTGTCCCTTCCACGTTGAAGAAGACCGCTTAATCTCCATCGATGGGTTTGACCAGCGAAATTTATTGAATCGACTTCGAATTCTCTGAAAAATGAATCGCCTATGAAGGCAATCGGCACAAGAACGAAAACGTGACGAGAATCTAGATACAGAATCTTTTCTACATCGTAAATGAAACATTAACATACACGTGTTATGAACAAAAGTTTCTTGGAAAATATGTTGTAATGTTGTTTCAATGAAATCCCCGAAACTTTTGTACAATCGCAGTTCCTCCGATTATGTGAAACATTAATCTATTACGTTGTTTATCCTCTTTGGTAGAACTAAAGCCAATAAATTGGTTGCTACAGTACAAGCACATTCTAACACTAGAAACAAAGAGTAACCTACACCATACATATATTGTGCTGTAACAACTAAGATCTCACAAATTAATATGTACATCCGCGTCATGCCACAGTTGCTTAACACGTTCACGCCGACAATGAATTTTTTAGCTTTTGTGTTAGAGGTCCACCCTGTTATTTTAGGTATGCGGCAATCAGCCTTGTACGTGTGACGATACACGACGACGCAAACATGTTAAAAGCTATTTGTTAACAGCTGTATCGATCCTAAGTACCCAAACCTTTGCATGAATTGTGCACGATTTGTGTCGATTGTGTGTTGACAATGCCTTATTTTGAACATTCGAATTTTGTCTAGTGCATAAAGTGAATTTGAAACAGGGGATGAGAATCATGCTGTCTCTAGTTCTGTGTGGCATTTACAAATTGTTTTAGGGATATCGTCCATTGATTAGTCACGAGAATGAGCGATTTCAATCTCTAAGCCACTGTACAAAATATTGATCATCATTCAGTCAATGTTGCTTTGAATATTGTGTGACGCTGGTGTATGACATACCCGCATCTTCGAATGCTCTCCAATTGAGTGGCATTCAGCTTCTTCGGTTTTCCGTACTTCTCCTTCTGAAAGCTTTACAAAAATTGTTAAAATATATCAGACACAAAAGAACAGTTTCTTCGAAACGAGACACCGATTAGGGGTTTAATTTCTTCGCTATCCTTATTTCGTTTGGTTTGTGGACAATTTTTTGGTTTTTTTTCAACTTCTTTGACTTTTGAACACACGGATGAATTACTTTTAATTAAGCGTGTATTTAATCATCTACCTTGATATTTATTGTCCCCCTTTTATACAGAGTGTTCGGCCAACCCTGGGAAAAATTTTAATGGGAAATTTTAGAGGCCAAAATAAGACAAAATCAAGAATATCAATTTTTTGATTGAGGCTTCGTTAAAAAGTTATTAAAAAATTTAATTAAAAAAATTCAAATCGTTCTAAAAAAATTATTTTCAGTTGTAGGGGTCAATTACAATCATTTTTGGTCAATACACATATCCCTGAAATCCTGCTCACTTTCGAGAAAAAAATTCGAGTAGGTGGACAAATTGCCGTTCTACAGGCGGAACTTTGAACGTTAATAACTTTTTAACGAAGCCTCAATCAACAAATTGGTATTCTTGATTTTCGTCTTATTTTGGCGTCTAGAATCTCCCATTAAAGTTTTTCCCAGGGGTGGTCGAACACCCTGTATAGGATGAGTCGTAATTCACGGTACAAATTGGCTTACGGAGATTCTATTTTTGATTGTGATTTATTTATAATTACAATTCAAATTAATTTAATACTTCTTCGAATATGATCATATGATATGTTTAAATATACAATTTCGTGCGTAATTATATCAATGCTACCAAAAATTATTTTCTCCTTAAGTAAATAATTTATAAATAACTGTTTCTCTTAAATGCAAGTAAAGAATCTTACGAATTATATGTATATATCACGAAAATTGATTACTATCAAGTTACCGTTAATATTTTATTTGATTTAGGTCGGATACAGTTAATATAAATACGCTTGATTGTGTGTTTGTAAACGCATAATCCTGCATGGCACAATGAGAGAAATCTCCCCGATTGGTTGTTAAAATTCAATTTTCTTGAAAACGAAGCTTTCCACGAAATTTCATTATTTTTTATTTTCGTCTCATTTCGAGTCATAGAATCTACCTGACTCAATTTATACTATTAATTACGACGATTCTGTATAGCATCAGATGAAAACTAAAGCCAATGAGTTTGTTCCTAAAATTTTATGCGAAACGATATTTGTTAACGTCGTATTGATGAAAAAGATATTACAAACTGTCCTAACACGAATATGTTTCGTATACCCTAAAAAGAGACTATGCAATGTGAGAGCTTCATACAAGCCTAGTAAACAGATATCTGTGAACATTAGTATGTATTGGCGACCTTCTAGACAGGTGAAGTATACCTGTGCACATCAAAATGGCTAACCACTAATTCTAAAGAACATACTGACTACTGTATTGTGTCTCGAAGCTTTGTTACGGAAAGAATGGGTGTCATTAATCCATAAGTTGCAACAACAAGTCCAATCATTCTTACAATTATAAAACTTTCTTCAAAACTTCAATAAATTTCACAATATACGTACATTTTCTTTGATCAGTGTTTCAATATGCAGTTTAGTATTTGAAGCCCAACTTCGTTGCTTTTCAAATTTACATTGTCAAAAGTTATTGCAATCAATCTAATTTTAACTAGAGCTAGAACTGCTTCACGAGTTTCTCCGTACTTAAATATTCCAACACCTCTTTAAAAATGAATTTTATAAGCAGAGTTTTTATCCGAATTGCAACTAATAAGTAATATAAACAAAAAGTTACAGTACCAAGTACTAATAATTATCGTTTTTAAAAAATATTTATAGTGTTTACTTAATTTCGATCACCTATAATTTTATGCTATTACAATGAAATTAAAAAAAATTAACATGCTATTTGTTGCAATTGATTTACTTACATATTTGATGAAATTATAATTTGTTAATTTACATATTCAATAAAGTTTGGATGTACGATGATTGTCTTTTACTTATTACACCTACCCGCTAAATTTTGTGTAACAAGCATCGACTCTTAGACTTTCAAACTTTACCGTTTACTTCACCAAAACTATTCTGAACATTATCTGTTATTAATAGTTTTAAAATATTAAACGACACCACTTATACATTGCACCAATGATCGTGTTGCAACCGTTGGGTCAACGACGTGATAGGAGCTCAAGATTCTGGTTCTACTGCTATCTACAGATATAGAGGAACGCTACGACATCTCGTTGTACGGTAGAACCTACCCTCGCTTACTGATGCTCTCCAGTTGCTTCTTGGTCAACCTTCTGGGTTCACCCTTGCTGTCCACGGCTACTGAATCCAACTCGTCGAAGCTAGGAGCGACGAAGAGGTCCCTCAGGTGGTGTTTCTTTCTAGCGAGCGTGTCCTCTCCTTCCACACACGTGGAGAGCGACGGCGGAAGGACGATAGGAAATGTTCTCCAGTGGTAGAGAAACTGTTGCGCAACCTCTTTGATGTTGTGCACCAGTGCCTCGACCTCGGCCGGTGCGCCGCGCAGATGCGACGTGTCGAACTCCACCGGCTCCTTCTGCAAGTGTATTTTTAAGTATCATTTAATTAGAAACAGTGTTAACTAATTAAGAAAACTACAGAGCTATAGCAAACACAACCGTCTTGCTCGTGCGGGAAGAATACAAATAGGACAATTGTTTTCCTTAATTTTTCTTTTTATAAAACCGGAATTAAAATGTAGAGCACAATGAATTGAAACAGATGTTACAGGTTTGTTTGGTGATTCTAAAGCAAAAATAAGCACACGCGTATCCGAGTTTCGGCATACATGTATTGAGAATAATAAGCAATGAATTTCAAATAAAATAGTGGATTATTTATTTATATATTTGAACTGTGCGACGGAGACGTTAAATAAAACAAGTAGGAAAGAAATGTCGAATATGGGAGTTCAAGCAAAGACGTCTCAACGTTAGGTGAAATTCGATTCCCAGCGTTCTCATTAGGTATGCTGTGCTACCTTAAACGACTGTGAGATAGTTTTTTCCATTCTTTAACTTTCATGTTTCTAAACTGTAATTGTTCTACATGCTTCGAACACGATTCGTTTGCTATAATTGCTGAAATATGAATAACTTATACATGTGTACCAAAGCTGCGACTACTTGTCTAAATTATACTATTCAAACATTACGAATATCCAGATACTTGATTTATGTACACAATATTTCGATACCCAAGTATCTCACTAATATTTGAATAGTATTTGACTATTATTTGAACAGACAAGTATTCCAATAGTACCCAAACTATATTCGTTGAGCATCTGATTCATCGAAGTGTTCCAATATTCGAACACAAACAAATTCTACAAATAGTCCTGGTCCTAATTTTTTTTCGAGCTTTTCTCTATAGCAGAGTAGCGACAACTACTGGACGATATGTACCTCTGGCTGGAGTTCATCTCCATTCTGTCGGTGATAAGGTTGTTGTGCGTAGGCCTGGTGATTCGGTCCTGTGTTGGCTGAGTTGGCGGAAGCGTTGTTTAAGTTGTGGGGCATCTCGCGCGTGAAAAGCGTGCGTGGCGGCTGGGGTCAGCTGCCCCGTATTCCGACTATCTCCTCATACACCATGCCGCTGGTCGCCACCATTTATCATTCCACGCTCTGCACATTCAATTTGTCGGTTATTCCATGATCCCTCTCTCTCTCTACCTCTGCGAGTTTCGGATCGTTTACACGCTCTTATGAACCGAAAAATAAGACCCGGGATCGCGATTTAGCATGATTCTGGGAAACCGTGTAACTATCAGGGCGCGGAACGAAAGTTGCGGTCGCTACTGTATAACATTCTGACTACTATTCAAACAATATTTCACTATTTACAGTAAATCTTGGATAAGCTTGGTTCGGCTTTGTATTCTTGCCGAACGTAAAAAAGGACAGCGAATGAGGGACATTATTTACTTTTTACTTTTTGTTAATGGGACTTTTACTAATATATTTGTGAGGTTTGTCTGATTAAAACAAGACCAAACACGATATAACTTGGATCGTATTTGCGTATTAAATATCACTATTGCGACAGAGACAATTGTATACAAGGTGTTCGGTAACTGGTGGTACAAGCGAAAAGGGGGTGATTCTACACGAAAAAATAAATCTAAAATATAGAATAAAAATTTTTCATGTGAGGCTTTGTTTTCGAGAAAATCGACTTTGAATTTTCTCGCTATAGATGATTGTCTCGATGGGTATTATTGCAGTTTAAGTTTAAGTTTAAGTCAATAAACAATTCCATGACACTGGAAGTGTTTATCAACATAAACTTCAATCGAGATAATGATCTATAGCGAGATCCGTTATAACAAGACATGATTAAGTGAACGCGTACCCGGCGAAAATTCAAAGCCGATTGTTTCGAAAACAAAGCCTCACATGAACAATTTTTATTCTATATTTTAGACTTATTTTTTCATGAAGAATCACCCTCTTTTCGCTTGTACCACCAGTTACTGAACACCCTGTATATCTGTATTAGTGAAACGTCGGTGTGAGTCAGAAATAACTCCGGCACAGGCTGCGAAGTCCAATACATACACGGAGGGTTAACGAGCAACAATAACTCATTCTTTTGGCACTCGCGAACACGATCTTACGCTCTATTAGAAGTAAGTTAAAAACAAATTATATCGTGTTTGGTCTTATTTTAATCGGAAAATTCTCACAAATATATTGGTGAACATTTTACGTAAATGAAAACAAAAATAAAATCATTAACCCTCCGTGCACTGGACATCGCAACCTGTGCCGAAATCATTTCTAACTCACATCGACATCTCATTAATACAGATATACAGGGTGTTCGGCCACCCCTGGGAAAAATTTTAATGGGGGATTCTAGAGGCCAAAATAAGACGAAAATCAAGAATATCAGTTTTTTGACTGAGGCTTCGTTAAAAAGTTATTAAAAAATTAAATTAAAAAATTTCAAATCATTCTGAAAAAATTATTTATGGTTGCAGAGGTCAATTACAATCATTTTTGGTGAATACACATACCTGCGAAATCCTACCCACGTTTGAGAAAAGAAATTCGGGTAAGTGCTGAAATTTTTCGATAAAAAAAAATTTCAAATCGTTCTCGAAAAATTATTTTTGGTTACGGGGGTCAATTACAATCAATTTTGGTGAATAGACATACCCCTGAAATCCTGTGCATTTTCGAGAAAAAAATTCAGTATGGGCGGAACGTTAAACGTTAATAACTTTTTAACGAAGCCTCCGTCAAAAAATTAGTATTCTTGATTTTTATCCTATTTTGGTCTCTAAAATCTCCCATTACAATTTTTCCCAGGGGTTGCCGAACACCCTGTATACAATTATCTCTATCGCAATAGCGATACTTAGTACTGTACGCGTGCCTTGGGGAAAGTGATGAGTCAAAAATGACTCCGGCACAGTACTCGAAGTGTTAAATACGCAAATACAATCCAAGTTATATCGTGTGTGGTCTTATTTTAATCGGGAAATTCTTGCAAATACATTGGTAAAAGTTTTATTAAAAGAAAAATGTTTCAACTTTGCATCATGTACTAGGTATGTATTGTTTTACCGATATTCGAGCTCAGATCTGGTTACATTACTCGACGTTGAACTTTTGATGTGTCAAAAGGAATCCCCTTTTCATAGTAGGGATAAGCATCGTTCATTTATCCAATCGAAAATGATTTGCAGTTATCCAAGCATTGCTGTATTTATACAGGGTGCGGTAAAATTTGTGAAAGATTCTATTATTAATCTAAGTTACTATTATTAACAATAGTATGAATAATAGAATTTTTGAAACAATCAGGAAGAATGGTGGTAGAACGCACTATTAAAATGTAAAACTTTGATTTTATAAATAAAACACTTTGTTTTAATAAACCAACCAGGGAAATATATTTAATGACACTATAGAAATTTCGCTTAACCTTTTATGGTTCGAAACATCTTTGATATTTCGTTCCAGCAAGTCCATGCGCAAACAGAAATTCATTTCTTTTCTGGATTTCTTCGCATGGTTTCTAAAACAATGCCACAAAAGAACAGTATTTTTGTCGCTTGGAAAAAAAACAGACGAACAGGCAGAAGAGGCAAACGTGATCATCTGGCACGTGTGAGAGGTTCGGTTGAATGCAGACTCCCATTAACCGATTATACCCCATTAAACGATTAACATTCTGAGCATTCCAGTTCTTGCTCGTCCTGGCCGGCATGTGCATCGAATAAGATCTACTTTTACGCGGAATACTCATGTTACACTGACTTCCTTCGTGGAATTCACAATTTCTTTTCTTACCTTCCAATTCGCAGAGGTTTTCTCGCTTTAATTAATCGTCTTACTGATCAGCCTCGCGTGATCCCTGTTACTTCACCGTCGCTGAACGTATCTTTTTTATTTATGTAGGCTACACGTCGTGGTAAAATCTGTGTCGTATATAATATTGTAGTCATTAGCTTGTCTACTTGGGTTTCGAGAGTTGAGAATCATAAAAAAATAAAAAAAAGTTTCGAGTTCTCGAATAACGGTTTATAAATAATTTAAGGCGATCGCGTTAGGTGACTCGTTCTGTATAACTGAGCGTGTCGTGAGATTGGTCTCAACATTATTTATGATAATATTCGGTATCCAAAATAGTATTTGGGATCCACTATTCGACGCGGGGCAAAATTTTGTTCATAAATCTAAAGTTTTAAGCCTAAAAGCATTTTCATAATTGTGGTGTAATGAAGTATAAAAAATTGTTTTATTTTAAATCGAAGTGTAGAAAGCACAATATTTAAAAGGATGAGAAACTTCAATTATTATTTTCGGGTTGCGTATCATTCAATGCAGGTTCATTTACTCCGTTTAGGCAGAAATAATTACTCAGTGGCTAGATTACTTTGGTCGAGTTTGCAATGTCTACAAACTGTGTTGTGTCGAATATTTATTTGGTCGAGTGATGGAGAACGATAGCATCGTATCCATCATTCATTAGTATGGAAACTCTCGTGACAAGTATACATATATCGAGTAAAGTGAATGAAATGTAAAATGAACATGATCCAACCCGTATTTTCGAGCACCCACGCGCCACTAGTAAATAAGAGTCCTTGTTTTTGTTTCACCCGGTGTGCAAAGTGTCTTTTGCCTCTCGTGTTCTCTTTTCCGGATTCTGGACAATATGGTACGCAACGCGACGGTACAACCCGAGGTGCGGCAACCTCGGTAAGTCTCTTTAAACGACAGGAAGTACACCGTGTACAGATTATTTCCAGGTTTGAGATGCGCTTGTCCCACTGGGAAATGTGAGACGATGTTGGTATTCTGCCAGCGCAGAACAATGTCTCTTCTGCACGTAAGGATAGAACTGTCGGTCCCTTCTTGGCACTGGAGCATGATACTCTACAATAATCGCAACGTGTAATTACAGTGTGAGCTGTTTATCGTGTACGCGACGCGTAGCCGGATTGAATATCAGAACCACTAAATGAGATTGGAACGTACAGATCGACTGTTGCTCCAATGATATTTGATTCGTTGAGCCTTAATATGCTCTTGATCGAGGATGGGCGAAACGTATGTATACAAATTGATCTCTGGATCCCGGTAATAACTTCCCTGTCCAACATTTTCATAAAAATACACACGAAGTTCGTAAGTTTGTAATATCCTCATTATTTTTCCGATTCATCTAGAGAGACTAAAATGACGAAGAGGTATTTTAAAAAGTAGAACGAGTACCGAACGAAATTGGTAACGATGATTTTCTTGAAACCGATTAGAATTAAGAAAGCGATGATAAAATTATAAAGTTCGAAAGTATTGAAGAAAACAAGGAGATTGAAGCAGGATAATTCTGAAACTTAATAAACTGATTAATTTGAAAAAAGGATAAATTATGCGAGAAAAATGGGTGTCTTTTGTAAAAATGATGGAGAAACCTAATAATATATGCAGATTGGGAAAACGAAGTACAGTAAAATTTTGATTATCCGGCATACTTGGGACTGGGGCAATGTTGGAAAATCAAATATGCCGGATAATTGGACTATACCTACATATCAAGTGATGAAAACGAGGAATACATTGTGTAAAATAAGTTCCCGGAATTTCTCACTTTCAAATCCCACAGTGCATGTATTGAAACAAATTTTTGTATGTAAGTAGGCAACATTGTATACAGTTGTTACGCTTTTGATTGCAATATGACGACCAGTGTGTTCACGGCAGTTATTTACACCAGTCGATCTCGCGTGTACTCTGCGATTTTTGCGATGGAAAGAACTGTCGAGCAAAGAATTTGCCTTAAATTTTGCGTTTCTAACGAAATTTCTTGTGCCGAAGCGTTAAAAATGTTACAGAAAGCCTATCGTAAGTGGTGCCTATCAAAAACGCAAACATACGAATGGTACAAGGCATTTAAAGAGGGCCGAGAAGAAGTGCAAGATTTGCCATGTGCTGTCCGACCGTCAATGGATTAAACTAACGAAAACATCGAAAAGATAACAAAAAATGGTCATCGATAATCGTCGCCTGAGTGTTAGAGAGGTGGCTGATGAACTGGAAATGTCTAACATGTCCGTGCATAACATTTTAACTGAAGTTTTGGACATGAGACGTGTCGCTGCACGACTTGTTCCGGAGGAGCTGAATTTTCTGCAAAAGGAACATTGAAAAGCAGTTGCTGAAGACATGATTTCACGAGCTTCTAGTGACTTTACCTTCATGAAACGCATCATAACCGATGACGAAACATGAGTTTATGAGTACGATATGCAAACAAGTCAACAATCTTCGGAATATCGCTTAGAAAATGAATCAAACCCTAAAAAACAGCGTAAAAGTCGCTCAAAAATTAAGGTCATGCTCACTGTTTTCTTTGATTGTCGTAATGTTGTTCATTTGGAATTCCTTCCAGATGAACAAACAGTAAATATTGTAATTGGCGTACGTGCATTGCTTCTGATGAGGCCTACTTTGAAGGCGACAAAATAAATTTGGATGATTAACACCTTGCACTACGCTGAAATTCGGAAGAAGCCGTGCCTAACCCATACGCCCGAATGATTGGAATCAGCCCTAATATCGGAACTTGAAAAACGATATGTCGATCGACGGAATATCGATATTTACGAGTTTGACTCGTGATATTCATGTTTTGACGAAATGTCAATTACGAGTCATATTCAAGTTTGGCCTAAAATTTTCATCACGAGTCAGACTCGTGAAAATAGTGCAAGGGGTTAAGTAAGCAATTTGAGGTATTATTTACAAATTCCGGGTACTTATTTTACATAATGTATAATCACAGACGAGGTATACGAGTAGACCTTACATCTAATGTATTTTTTCGGCCTATTTTTCTGGAGCTCTGGAGCCCCATTACCATTTTCGAGCCACTTGCAACATTATCAACAGGTTACAGAAATAAACACAAGAAGAAATGAGACTGAAAATGAAATTACAGAAACATTTCTGGCTAGACATTATATTTTCGGTAAAGAATTTTTTTTCTCGTAAGTGCATAGAATTTCGGAGGTATGTGTATTCACCAAAAATGATTTTAATTGACCCACGCAAACAAAAATAATTTTTCCAGAACCATTTGAAACTTTTCGGTTTCGTCGAAAAATTACAGCAACAACTCGAATTTTTTTCTCGAAAATGCATTGGATTTTGGAGTTATGTCTATTCACCAAAAATGATTGCAATTGACCCTCGCAACCAAAAATAATTTTTTCAGAATGATTTGAAATTTTTTTATTTAATTTTTTAATAAACTTTTTCACGAAGCCCCAAATTTTGGCTTCTAGAATCTTCCATTAAAATTTTTCCCAGGGGTGGCCGAACACCCTGTATACCTAGTATAAAACAACCCTAACAGGTTCCTTCACAATGAGCTTTCGTTTTAGAGATATTTTAATTTAAAGTTTGTTACATATGTAGTAAAAGAATTAATTAAAGTTATTTGATAGATATGGATAAGTCGGTAGAACAATTAGCTACAAAGTCTTTGGTAGTGGGTTCGAATCTCCGCCTAGTTACTATTTTTCTTTTATTATTTTGAAATGCAAAAATATATTTTATTTGTTTTATTTAATTTTGAATATAAAAAACAGTAGAAAGTCCAGTAGTAAAATAGCAATTTATGTAGCATGTATTTTTCTATATTAATCATTAGCCAGTAAATTCTGTATTTGAAACATGTCTGAAAATCATAAGTGTTGATACTGACGATGCAAATGACTAATACAGAATTTACTTGCTAATGATTAATACGAATGATTAATATAGAAAAGTATATGCTACTACTGTTTTTTGTATTAAAAATGAAATAAAACAAATCGAATATATTTTTGCATTTCAAAGTAATAAAAGAAAAAAAGTAACTTGGCGGGGATTCGAACCCACTACCAAAGGTTTCGTAGGTAATTGCTCTACCGACTTACCCACATCTATAAAACAAACTTAATTAATGAAATTCTTTTATTATATGTAAACCAAAACTTTAAATCAAAATATTTCGAAAACGAACGACTCATAAAAACAAAATTCAAGCAAACCATTTCAATGTATTATTATTTATGGTGAAAAATAAATTGGCAAATGAGGTGGAAGATTTCGGGCTGCAACGTAGACGTTTACAACGATACCGTAACATAAAATTGTTCGACAGTGCCGATCAGTGTCGAATGGCAAATGTCGACGCGGGCTTTAGAAGCACAAGACTGGAATAGCGGCGCTGTTTTAAGGTTACGAGAGCTTGCAAGCTTCGAAGTAGGTCAAAAAAGCCAGGCGTGCCGCACTACTCTCGGCAACCTACTTGGAACGCATTTGAGCGGAGTCGTAAGTATTCTTTCTCGCGAAACTTCGCGGTCGCCTCTTTTTCGCGCGTTCGTTCATCCACAGGGCTTAAATTTGTATTCATTTCGAAGAAAAATGATTCGTCCGAGGAGGTTGAAGGAGCTTCAGCGGTGGCAAGTGGAAGTAGCCTCGAACGACTAGAGAGTGAAAGGGTTAATTGATCCTCGTAAAAATACGCTAACGTCGGTTTGATAACGGGGTCGCGGACGAGGTTAGATTCGAGTGTAAGATCGAGTTGCGTGTCATCGGACGGTAAAAATGTAAATGGAATGAACGAAGTCCGTTCATGGATTTACAACAGAGGTACGCACAGTTCGCTTCGGGAAAGTCGGAACTATACTACGTAGAAAATGGCTCGTGAACAATTTTCTTTGTAACGCGATTCTCTGCTGTTGCAAATGTGCCCGGAGAAATCCGCGACACGATTTCTTTTCGCGTTGACATTCGTATTCCGCGTCGCTCGTTCTTTCGTGAAGTATAGGCTAGAAGCGTAGCCAGTATCTGGTATAAAATATCAGAATAATTTAAAACGCTTAAAAAGACGTAGAATGAAGAAGCAACAGCCACTGATCGCCATAAACAGGCCAGATTGAAATTCGCGAAGTAAAGAAATAAAAAAAGTAATTTTTTTTTTTATCAGCAGCGGTTTAATTTGAACGGACCCGATAACCTAAATTACTAAATTATACCTCAAAGACTGTAAATGGGAGGTGGATGGATATAGAATTTATTTTTACCAAAACTATTATATTTTCTAGTGTTTTGCAATACTTACAAATTTGACAAATATTTATAAAAAATAAATTAATGAAAAAAGCTTAGTTTTTTAAAGATATCATTGCACGAAACAATGTTTAGAAACACAGCGGTGTAAGTTGGTACGAGAAAAGGGTAATTACTTACGACTCGAACCAACGCAATAAAGATGTCCGCGTTTCTTTCCGTTACGGCATCACGAAATTAATTTTCTACTTCCACTCGATTCTAATATTCGATCCTTCGTTTCTATTTCGAATCTCGTTACGAACCGATAAGAGATGCATTCATACTGGTTTAATAAAAACTGATAACAAGCCCGTTAAGCCTCTCCCAGACAAGGCAAATTGAATCGACAGCTGCTAAACGATCGAACGGTCTTATTTCATTGTCGGCGTTCTCTCTTTACTGAAGGCAGTATTTGAATTGTAAAAATCATGTTGCGGCATGCCGGCTCGGACCATTGTTGTTGCGTATTTCGCAGTTATTAAAAGGCCTCCTTGAGATATCTGAACGCGGTATTCGGGGAGCCTTGTTCCTTTGGCGAACTCGAGTAATCGCCGCCAATAACGAGCACTGGGTGCTCCAGATACAGAGAAATCGTTATTGGAAATATCCCGGGCTCCAGTTTTGCGTTTCCCGCCGATCGTAACGCGTATTTGCACTGTGGCTGAAACTACTGGTCGAATTTTTCAGTGATTCTTATATTAGTGTTTCCAACAAAAGCGACGGAATTATCAATTTTCATAACCACCATATTTATTATTCACTTGTTTGAATCGCACGATATTTGTACGTATTGAGTGTATTCAGTGTTTTATAAATCATGGAGGGGTATAATACAGTTGCTCGTTTAGCATTCAATCCGTCGTTTAGTAGAAAAATTTATAGCCGCTGATTCAGTTGTTGATCAATACATTTCAACGTGTGAACGTAGTGCAAGAAGCAAAGGGCATATTGTTACCGTAAGGGAAAGTGTTGCTGAGAATCCAAATGTATCGATTTCACGACATTTTCAAGAATTAAACATTTCTCTCATTTAACACTATTCCTACCTTTAGGAATAGTTTTAAAGTTCACGACTTTTCCTAAAATATACGTATAATACTTTTTTTTAATATTCACTTCTTTTTTTATTGTTTATTTTCTGAGAAAAATTTATAGCCTGTCTTACCTACTACGACCGGCCATTTTACCGATTGAACGATTTATATCATTTTGTAACAGTATTATCTCGAAGACTCAATTCCGAAACTATAAAGTCGTTACAAACGAAAGATAATGCAGTTGTGGCATGATTTTAGCTGAAAAGTGCCTTCCAGAGACTGCTTTAGGCACTACCAAGTGTTTATAATTCTCACTCGCCTATCGGCCTTACGGTGTTTATTTGCCAGACTAGTATAGTCCGGACCACAATATAGCGAGGTCGTAAACTCAAGTAGGTGTCAAAGTTTACACGTTTCAGCTCCCGAAACAAGCAAATTGACAGAAATATGAGCAGCTAAGGGCCTTAGACCATAGTCAAGGTCGTACGAAGAAATGTTTTATCTAGTGTCGCCACTTTTAAAGGTATCGTAACAGGTAAAGGTCATACTTAACAGTCTTCAAGTCTTTAATATCTTAATTTACCTGCTTATAATATATGCATGCAGAAAATTAAAAAAGATAGTGCAGTTACGGACATAGAAAGACATTCAGAAAGGCACCCTCAAGCAAGATGTCATGTACGGCCCTAAGTGCCGCAGCAGGAGTCGGGCCCAACCCTCAAGTGTTTAATTTACGACCTCGCTATATTGTGGCCCGGACTATATCTGAAGTGGTCCAAAACCTCGGATTTTCTTACACCATCTTATCTATTATAACTGTAAAATAAATAAAATCATAACCGAAGGGGATACCTAGACGACTTCTCACGAATTCAAATCAGTAAAGTCTTGTGATTCGAACAGAGAGCATCAAAACGTGAAAGTTGCCTAGAGCATATTCGGCAGTCATTTATTATTTTATATTGTTATTCTATAATTTAATAAAAGAAACTATATTTTTATACTGTAAAATTGGCTATTATCTTCATTCAATATTAAAACATATAAGTTGTGCTGAAAACCGGTCATTTGACCGGTCGCGGTAGAAATAGGTATACGTGAAGTGTCGGTAGGAATAGTGTTAATTAAATGAGAGACAAAACTTCTTTGTAAATAAATGTAGTCTAATGTAGTAAACAATATTTAATAAAGATAAATGAAAAGTATTGATATGAAACATGTTTCTTTTTTCTCATTTACAATGGTCCCTCGCTAACGTTCGCTACTCTTTCCCTCGATATTGTTTGCGAAGTCATCCCCACCAATTCCTAGAACTGTTTTGACGAGACATTCATGAACGTCAATGTTGAATGAATCATCGAAAAGACAAGAATAACATTTTTATATTTTTTGCAATTTATTCAATGGAATTGATACCAAAATAAGGTCATATTTGCTCTCACTAGTAAGAATTAAAAAAGGAATGCAAAATAAATGATGTACTTTTTATGACAGTAATGCAAATACAAAAAAATGATTATATATAAAAAATACATAACATTTTTGATAATAATAATCATCTATTAAAACCTTGAGCGAAGCTCTTAACCAGTCAGCTGTGGCGACCCTTTTCAGAGCGCGCACTTGTTTGTTTTATTTCGTTTTGTCCTCCAAAGATTCTAAACATATTGAAAACGAATATATTTTAATTTTTATTAAAATTACAATTTAAACAGCAAATGATAACTAAATTTTAGGCATGACGGATATAGTCGTCAAACACAGCCGACTGGTTAAGAACAAAAAATGTAAGAAATGAAATGAAAAATTCACAAAATAATGTAACGACGAAAACGAAATTTAAAAATGAGTAACGTTAACGCTCCCTCGATAATGTTCGCGTCGCAGAACTGACAAGGAACCATCGCGAACGGTCCGGCTTCGATTTTGATGAAACTTTGTACACTTATAAAGCAGCCAAAAATAATCGACACGTATTTTTTTTTAGCTGCGGTAACTCGAGTTTAAGGGGTGAAACCACCCCTTGAAGTTTTGGCTCGAAACGGCTATCTCGAAAACGGAAAGACATACAAAAAAATTGTTAATGGGCGAGGTTGATGGTTTCTTATGTACAATAACATGATGTTAAAAAATTTAAAAAAATACAATTTGTTTATAACAAAAAAAAATTTATTAACTTAATTTTTCATTTTATTGAAATTTTCATAATGACAAAAAATGACGAGCATTTTATTCCAAATCCATTGGTATGCGATTTTTTAAAATTGCCTCCTACAGTTTTGCAGATTTTTATGATTTACATCTTGCGCGCACATCCATTATGGTAGTAGCCGTTCTAACTTTGATTTTAATGAAGCACTGTAGGCTTGCACTACTTCTAGAGGACAAAATCGGGAAAAATACAAGAATACCAATTTGTTGATGGAGGCTTCGTTAAGAAATTATTAAAAAATTAAATTAAAAAATTTCAAATCCTCCAGGAAAAAATTATTTTCGGTTGCGGGGGCCAATTACAATCATTTTTGGTCAATACATATACCCACGAAATCCTACGCACTTTCGAGAAAAAAATTCCTAATCGAAAATGTAATTTATGGCCAGAAATGTTGTCCGAAAATTTCATGCAGATCTTTAAAATGTCATAACTTCTGAACGGATTGAAGGATTTTAATTTTCAAAAATGCAAACGACGCGTATTTTAATCAAGAATACGTAGAAATCGCAAAAATATGCAAAAAGTTGATCCTTGACCCTGCAAAATGAGAAAAACCCCATAAAAATGGTCCAATCTTCAAACAGCCATAATTCCTACAATAGTGAATATATTTCAATGAAACTTTTTTCTGAAGTAGAGCTCATAGGTACCTACAAAAAAGTATTGGCCAACTTTTTTGTAGGGCGTCAAACAAAATTATTAAAAATGAAAAACGAATTTTTAAGAAAAATCGACAGGGCCGTCCGTCGTAGGTGCCTAAATTTTTCAGGGGAAAAAAAAAATTTCAAATCGTTCTAAAAAAATTATTTTCAGTTGCGGGAGTCAATTTCAATCATTTTTGGTCAATATATATACCCCCGAAATCCTACGCACTGTTGAGAAAAAAATTCAAGAATGTGTGAAATTTTTCAACAAAATTAAAAAATTTCAAACCATTCTGAAAAAATTATTTTCGGTTGCAGGGGTCGATTACAATCATTTTTGGTCATTACACATTCCCCCGAAATCTTGGGCATTTCGGAGAAAAAAATTCAGTACGGGCGGAACTTTAAACGTTAATAATTTCTTAACGAAGCCTCCATCAACAAATTGGTATTCTTGTATTTTTCCCGATTTTGTCCTCTAGAAGTAGTGCAAGCCTACAGTGCTTCATTAAAATCAAAGTTAGAACGGCTACTACCATAATGGATGTGCGCGCAAGATGTAAATCATCAAAATCTGCAAAACTGTAGGAGGCAATTTTAAAAAATCGCATACCAATGGATTTGGAATAAAATGCTCGTCATTTTTTGTCATTATGAAAATTTCAATAAAATGAAAAATTAAGTTAATAAATTTTTTTTTGTTATAAACAAATTGTATTTTTTTAAATTTTTTAACATCATGTTATTGTACATAAGAAACCATCAACCTCACCCATTAACAATTTTTTTGTATGTCTTTCCGTTTTCGAGATAGCCGTTTCGAGCCAAAACTTCAAGGGGTGGTTTCACCCCTTAAACTCGAGTTACCGCAGCTAAACAAAAATACGTGTCGATTATTTTTGGCTGCTTTATAAGTGTACAAAGTTTCATCAAAATCGAAGCCGGACCGTTCGCGATGGTTCCTTGTGAGTCGGTGAACATTGGAGAGGGATTACTGTACAGTAAATGTTCTCATAGTTCACGAATAGGAGCAAGAACTGATGGTCGGTAACCGACATTACCGATTGACGAACGATTGGCGTCGCTGCGTACGCGAGCACCGCGATGCCGATCTGCACTGAATATTGGGCAGTCGTTAACGAGCTCACAAAGTAACCACATGTAATTTCTTTCTTTTAAATATACTACTATATCTCATACAGTGCGTTATATTTTACAACAAGAACAACTGTATCCTTGTTCGAAGAAAATCTCTGACATCGTATAAAAAAAGTGATCGATTCAACGCGAAATAGACTTCGCGAAAGGCGGTCGCCTCGAGCTAGTCGATGAAAATTAATTTTTCTCACGCGGTTGGGGCCTTCGAGCGAGCGATCGAGA